GAGTCGGAGACTATAGCATCGCCGAACAGTAGTACTGACGTAACTTGCAGCGTTTGTCCGACCAATCTACGCCGGTAACGCTATCATGACCGTTCAATCGTCCGACAGCACAAAGGTCATCACCGTTAGAGGTACTGCATTCCCCGCGCCAGAGGCTGAAGGTGGAAACGCAGCCGTGGAAGAGGGCGTTGATCCTAAGGCCGAGTGCCCGACTGAATGGATATCGGAGGATCTCCAAAAGTCCGACCGACCCGATCTCGGCTCAGCAGACAAGGTTGTATCAGGAGGACGTGGTCTGAAGTCAAAGGAGGAGTTTGACAAGCTCATGCCACCTCTAGCAGACGCGCTTGGCGCTGCCATTGGTGCTTCAAGAGCAGCAGTCGACAGTGGCTTCGCTGACAACAGCTTGCAAGTTGGACAGACTGGAAAGAATGTTGCGCCGCAGCTCTACCTATGCGCCGGTATCTCCGGAGCTATTCAACATTTGGCTGGTATGAAGGACAGTAAGGTCATTGCTGCCATCAACAAGGATCCTGAGGCACCAATCTTCCAGGTTGCCGATGTTGGTCTTGTTGGCGATCTCTTCGAAAAGGTCCCCGAGCTAACAGAGAAGCTGAAGTCTCAGTAGAAAAAATATACATATCAATTTTTAGACATGTAAATTAGTTATGAAACCTTTCACTGGGACCGAAGAAAAGTGCAGCGTCCACTGTGTATTTGCTAAGTCTCTTAGGGGCTGCAGGCAGCTTACATGACACTGACATCTTGGTTGGCTAACTCAACATGGGAATGCATAATCTTGGCGGATATTAAACACACAATTCTAGGTTCAACTCATATTATGTTTCTTTCGACAACTACAACAACAACGATAGTCCCAATGTGCAAACGTCTGACAATACGCGCAAAAAGCTATTAGAGATATTCTCAAACCAAAGCCGAGTATTACCCATACACAACATATCGCCTAGAAATCTTGTGACCATGTATTTGCACATGCACTCGACACATGTCAATCATGTGTGCTTCCTCAGCTCAGTCTAGATTCAAAGTCTTGGCGCACGTCAATAGCTGATCGCCCTACACCAACTACCCTTGTCTTGTGCCTCGTCTCCACCTCCAGTCAAAAGCCGACAAGTCCCGCGCGTTCGCTGAAGCTACTGTCAGCGGCTGCACGCGCGTGTACGAATATGTGAATACGGCACAGCCTTCTCCGTCCCTTTTTTATACTTGTTCTCCTTTTCTTTTCCCCCGTGTTATCTTTGCGAATCTCGCCTTACCCCCTCCCACCCCCATCCAATAGTGGGCGGCACCACTTCTGGTCACCTGCGAAAAGTGTTCCTGGTCATTCACAGCATTATTGAATTTGCACTTGCGCGCCACTAAAACGGGTCGTTGCCTTGTGACTTTCATCTGAAAGATAGCAAGGTTTTGCCGTCTCCTAGAGTGCATGCCTAGTATTTCGCTGTTGCGACGGTCTAGGATATTCTACAGGATTCCTTACTTATCGTAGTGTATTCGATCAGCACTCGTTACTGTGGATTCTCCTGTGTCGCTTGCTGCACCCAGTGATGAATGTGAACGCGGCTCACCAAAGATGCAACATGAAGACGAAAAGTCGAATCAACCAACCGGCTCACAACAGCAGACCGAAACTAATATGACCAAAACCCCAATAGATGATGAAAACAAGGGGAAGAGATGGTGGAACATATGGAAGAAATGGGAAGAGGAAGAGGCCGATTGGTGGTTTGCGAGTACGGGTATCCCCCTTCTAGCCGCGACTCTTGGGCCACTGGCAAATGTGAGCTCTATCGCTGCCCTAGTAACGCCTTGGAGACAGAGAAATATCATCAATGGCGAAGTATTGTCCGATTTTGAAGGAGTACCATTTGGCGATCCGCGATGGTAAGTAAGGCTTTTAGCCAAAATTGGACTAATCCTCCAAAATCACTGACAAACCCGAGCTGACGGAGCCAAGGTGTTACTGGATCAATGTCGCCTCTCTGATTTGTGGGTTCCTCGGAAATATATTTCTGCTGCTGAACTTTACGCAAAGAATTCGATATATAATTGCTCTGCCGGCCACAGTAATACTCTGGTATCTTTCATCAGGCTTTCTTATTGCGATAACTATATGTATGAACATGTACGCACCGCCTATGCGTCCGCAAGAAACATACACCCAAGGATTCTGGTATGCCATCGCGGCAGCCGCGTTCTACACCATTTGTTCTATGATCCTCATGGTCAATATGTTGGGTTACTTTCTAGGCCACTACCCGGAAAACTTTGCGCTCAGTGACAGCCAACGGACACTCATCCTGCAGACGATGGCATTCTTTATCTGGCTGGCTGGCGGCTCCGCAGTATTCGCCAAACTTGAACAAAATGCTGGCAATGATAGTTGGCGCTTTGCGGATGCTCTGTACTTTTGCGATGTCACAATTCTCACAGTCGGCTTCGGTGATATGGTACCGTCAACTGCTGCGACCAGAGGCATCGTCTTCCCTTACTCCGTCGGGGGCATCATCACCTTGGCCCTTATTGTATCTTCGCTCTATACCGCAGTACGCGAGCTGGGTGACGAGAAGGTTGTTCAAAAGTATGTGGACCGCCTGCGCGAAAGCGCAGTCGAGCGTACAGTGACCAACTCTTTCGATCTTCGTCATCGCGAACATAGCGCCCATCACCTCATCAGAACGCGTAAACTTGAATTCCCTAAGATATCTGCACCCACTGAACTGCGACGTTTACGCAAACCTGTGAACGAGAACACCAATCATATCTCTGCGTTCCCACGCGTCTCCCACGCTCTCGGCATAACTTCGAAAAGACGGCTTCTAGTCTTAAAAGAAGAGAAGGATCGTTTCGAAGTCATGCGCAGGATCCAAGAGGATTCTAAAAAGTTCAAGCAGTGGATGGCACTTTTCTGGTCCACCACCACATTCTTGATCCTTTGGTGCATGGGTGCTCTTGTGTTCACAATAACCGAGAAGGATAGTCAGGGGTTAACGTACTTCCCCGCCCTCTACTTCTGCTACGTCTCCTTGCTCACCATTGGGTACGGAGATTTAGCCCCAAAGACCAATTCTGGACGTTGCTTCTTTGTCGTTTGGAGCTTGATCGCCGTACCAACCATGACCATTCTAGTTTCTAATCTTGGAGACACGGTGGTAGCGAATTTCAAGAAATGGAGCGATAAGTTTGCTGACTTTACCGTGTTACCCAAGGCAGGCATATGGCGTTCGTTTCTTGACAAGCATCCCTGGCTTCTTCATTGGTTACAACGCATTACAGAATACCATGCGCGTAGGAAGCGTTTGAGGAAAGGGTTCGAAGTCGGGGTCGTCGATAGTAATGACTCAGATCCTCCCAACGTTGGTGACAACGACACCAGTCCCTCTGAAGATGTAGAAAACCCACCGGACAGCGACAGAGCTGCTGAAGATTCTGAAGCAACCCCGGAAATCTCGCTTCCCCAAGCTCCGACTGGTGCATCCATATCCCGCGACCTAGCGCTCTGTATCCAAAAGGTCTCGTTTGACCTGAGAAAACCAAACAAGCGCTATAGTTACGAAGAATGGGTCGAATTTACACGCTTGATCCACGCAACGCACCCAGAGCGGCTAGATCGCTATCTGGGTATTGAGTGCAGTCCAACAGACGACGAGAACGAGGAGGGTCTAGTGAATTGGGATTGGCTTGGTGAGCGTAGCCCTTTGGTCTCTGGAAACAGCGAAAGTGAGTGGCTGATGGAGAGGCTGGTGGAGAGTTTGGTGAGGTTAGAAAAGAGAAAGGAGGTTGCAAGGCGGAGAAGGGATATTGGGGCATTGAGGAATATGGAGGGAAAGAATGGAGAAAGTGGCTAAATGGATGGTCGGCAGTGGTGGTTGTGTATATCTGAGGGTTGAGAAAATATTGGCATATGCAATTACTCTCTTCTTGAGCATCAAATACAAACATATATGAAAGTTGCGCTGCTCCGGGATTACTTGCAGAATAGGACATCAATGTGTCTGCCTTGCACTAAACCAGTAACATGCCAGCTGAACTTGGTACAAGCTCTTGGCCATAACTTTGCCTGCATGTAAAGTGGAGCGAGTCGGCTTCGGTGCCCGCGGGCATGGTTGGATTTGGCAATGATGTGCGATTCATCGCAGAGCCAGCCACAGGAAAAGAGAGCCAAGATTTCCCATTGAGGCGTATGCATATTGCAGAGTCGTGTGAACCCGGGTCCAAGGAGGCTGTAGGAAGCCTAAGCGCCGACGTCGTCGGGCTGTCGGCAGTTGTTACTCGCCTATATGCATCGAGCCTTATTTTTAGATTTTGAACATACAAGGTCGTCAACCAGAATTCTGCACAAAACCACTAGTGCAATATGTTTGCTGCCGATCAGTCTGGACGCAAAGTTTGGAAACCTGAAGTAAAAGCGTGAACGGACGAGCGCAATGGCCATTAATAGCGCCTCGCAAGTAGTCGCTCAATTGGGAAAGAGGTTGGCTAAGCGAGATGTCCAGTAGTTAGCGTACTCAACCCCTCAATTGCAACAGCTAAACATTGTACTGTGTACAGCCTGATGGAGAAACATCTGATTCGACACTTACCCACCACTATGGAGACAATCATACTAAGCTGGCGTCGCAGACCGACCCCTGCTCGCAGTTCTCGTCTGCTTTGTTGCGCATGAGCCCTATCACATAGTAATGCCAAGTTGGATGGCGCCACCTGTTTGGGGGCGTACATAGACGAGATACGTGCTATACGACAGGGAAGAAACACCCAACTTCCAGGCACCAACCTTTGCACCCTGTCTGATTTGTCTCGCTTTATTTAACGCAATGATTCCTCGGCTCAAATCTATAGCCTAACTGTGTTTTGTCCATTCACACCTCGTCGTTATCGACTCTGCAGCTGTGGATCAACCGCCACACCCCCTTGCAGTCGACCTTTAGGAAGGGCACACTACAGCTGCGACCCAAACCCCTACATCCCAAAAGATGGGGAAAGAAAGCGTTGTAGAACCTATGGAGGGCGAAGGGGCTGTCTCTACAAAACCAAAAGAGGCTTCTCAAGATGGACTAAAGAACTACTTCGTAAGTAACGCTGATTGATTTGATGCTCCATCTAACAAGCGAAACCCCAGCGTGTCTTTAGTTACGGCACGCGTCTAGATTATTTACTCATCTTGATTTGTTTTGTTACGTCAATTGGCTCGGGCATCGCTTTCCCCCTGATGACTGTAGTCTTCGGTGAGCATCCATCCAACAAAAAAAAAAGCTGTGCAATCTTTCATCGCGCTGACAATATTCAGGCCAACTCGTGGGAAAGTTTACCGATTACTTCACGCCAGGAACAAGCGTCACAGCCTCCGAGTTCCAGGATGAAGTCGATGACTTGACATTGTACCTGTTGTACCTCTTCATTGGCAAGTTTGTTTTGTCCTATGTATCCATGGTAAGAAGAAACCTTCTCCAATCGCCAGTTCAAAATAACGAACACATCACAGCTCACGATCCGGGTCAGTGGCCTCCGAATCTCGGCTGCGCTACGCCTGGCATACATACGAGCTTTGTTCCTACAGCCTGTTAGTGTAATTGACACTGTCAGCCCCGGAAAAGTGTCCACGCGAATTACAACCTCTGCAAACACGGTCCAAGTCGCCATATCACAACAGCTTGCTATGATGTTCCAGGCATTTGCCTTTGTGATCGGGGCATACGTTGTAGCGTTCATCCAGAGCCCATTGCTCACCTTGGTCGCATCAGCCTCATTGCCGTTCATCCTGATACTCATGGGTATCATCATCCCTCCATTTACGCGCATATACAAAATCACCGAAAAGTACAGCGAGGATGCGTCTGCTACGGCTTTTGAAATATTTTCTTCCCTTCGCGTTGTTGTCGCTTTTGGGGCAGAAGCGAAGCTGGCACGACAGCACGAAGAGTTACTGATCAAAAGCGCGAAGAACTTCAAGAAAGCTGCTCCTCTCTCGGGACTCTTTTTCGCGCCTATGATGGTAGGACAATATGGAACGATGGGTATCGCCTTCTGGTTTGGTATCAAGCAGTATTCTGAGGGGAAGAACGATGACGTTGGTACCATTGTTATCGTCCTGTTCGCAGTCATGATGGCAGTCGTGAATTTCGGCAGAGTCGTTACCCCGATCGTTGCTATCGTCAAGGCATCAACAGCCGCTGCAGAGCTATTTAGGACGATCGATGCGCCGGTCCCAGATGTCTCAGGATTGAAAGAGCCCAATGTCACTGCCAAAGCCAATATTACGTTCGAGGATGTCGCCTTCTCCTACCCAAGTAGGCCAAATGTTCCAATTCTCCAAGGACTAGATCTTGAATTTGAAGCTGGCAAGGTTACAGCTATCGTTGGTCCATCGGGAAGTGGTAAGTGGTTTACGTCAGCAAATCGCTCTTATTACATGTCTGACATACCATTCCAACTGTTAGGAAAGTCTACTATTGTCGGTCTAGTGCAGAGATGGTACGATCTCCTTGGAACAACAGCCTCATCCACGCCGAACGATCTCCCTGTTAACTCCTCTTCTGCCACCTCAACAACTCACACTGAACCCAAACAAGACGAGACTCCGAAGAAGTCTGGATGGTTCAAGAAACGCGCCGTTGATAAAGACAAAGGTCAAGAGAAACAAGAAAAAGGGGTGAAGGATGATAAAGTTAAGGAAGTCGAGCGCGATCTCGGCCCCAACACCTGCACTGGGACTATAAAAGTTGGAGGGACTGATATCAGAAAGATTGATGCCAAGTGGTGGCGCTCTCAGATTGGCATCGTCCAACAAGAGCCATTCCTCTTCAACGACACCATCTACAATAATGTCGCATTTGGTCTTACCGGAACAAGATATCAAGAAATACCGAAAGAAGAGAAGATGGTTATGGTGGAAGAAGCATGTCGCGAAGCCTACGCAGACGAGTTCATCGCTAAGCTTCCTGAGGGCTATGAAACTCTGGTAGGTGAGAGCGGTATCAAATTGTCAGGCGGCCAACGTCAGCGGATTGGAATCGCAAGAAGTATTATCAAGCAGCCACCTATCTTGATCATGGACGAAGCAACCAGTGCGATTGACGTACGAACAGAACGCATCGTACAACAAGCGCTCGATCGCGTGTCGAAGAACCGAACCACCATTGTAATTGCTCATCGTCTGTCTACAATCAAGCGGGCGGACAAGATTGTTGTCCTACGCAAAGGCCAATTGGTAGAGCAAGGCACTCATGATGAACTATTGAAGATCGAGTCAGGAGTCTACTTTGGCCTAGTTCACGCACAGAACATTGCCATGGAAGCCGAGAATGAAGACGCCGGCCTGGAGAGAATCAATACTACTACCAGTGAAGTCGTCGAAGAGAAAGCAAAGAACAACAACATTTCCGGAGAAACGAACCCGGAATATAAAGAGAAAGGCTTGATAGCCAGTTTCGGACGTCTACTGTTCGAACAACGTCACCACTGGGTTCTGTTCAGTCTCGCCGTTTTCGGTATTCTAGCCAGTGGTGCCGTCTGGCCACTCCAAGCCTGGGTCTTTTCCCAGGTCATCAACGTCTTTACGCTTCCAAGAGACCAACTTGTCAGCAAGGGCAATTTCTGGGCCGGCATGTTCGGAGTGCTTGCCGGAGGCACATTCCTGTCATACTTTGTCATGGGATTCGCATTTCATCTCATAGCCACACAAGTCTCATTGCAGTACAGGCAAGAATATTTGTACAACTTGATTCACAAGAGGATCTCTTTCTTCGATGAAGAAGGGCATAGCCCAGGATCTCTGACGTCTAGGGTGAGTTCGGACACTACACAGCTTCAGCAGCTAATGGCAACGGAAATGGGCATGGCGCTCATTGCTATCGTCAACGTTGTCGGGTGTGTCATCATCTCCTTTGTCTACGGGTGGAAGCTATCTCTCGTTGGTCTCTTCGCTGCTTTGCCACTAATTCTAGCCGCGGGATATCTCCGCATGCGTCTGGAGCTTGAATTCGAAAAGAGCAACGCCAAGATCTTCGAGGACAGCAGTCAGTTCGCTGCTGAAGCCGTTGGAGCCTTCCGTACTGTGCTCAGTCTCATCATGGAAGACATGATTGGCGACCGGTACGAGACTTTGCTGAGTACTCACATCAGCAAAGCCTTTTCACGCGCAAAATGGGGCACGCTCGTCTTCGCAGGGAGCGACAGTATCGAACTGGCTTGTATGGCGCTCACGTTCTGGTATGGCGGCACACTACTAGCCTCTCGTGAGTACAACAACGTCGACTTCTTCGTCATCTATCAAGCCATCATCTCTGGTGCTGTCGCAGCAGGCATGTTCTTTTCCTTCGCCCCAAACATGGCCCAGGTAACCGGTGCTGCCAACCGCATCCTCAGCATACGTCCACCCCCAACCAGCGGTTCCACTTCCTACCCGCCTCTCAACACATCCGAGAAAGGCATCGGCATAGAATTCCAAAACGTCTTCTTCACCTATCCATCCCGAGAGCTCCCCGTACTCTCAAACCTCAACATCCAAGTCCAACCCGGCCAATTCGCCGCTCTCGTCGGCGCAAGTGGCTGCGGCAAATCCACCACAATATCCCTCCTCGAACGCTTCTACGACGCCTCTTCCGGCCGCATCCTCTGCAACGGACAAGACATCACGACACTCGACCCGTCAGAGTACCGCAAGCAAATCAGTCTTGTAGCCCAAGAACCCACACTGTACGAAGGCACAATTCGAGAAAACGTTGCGCTATCCGTGGACTCGGCATCGGATACGGAAATCGAGCAGGCATGCCGCGACGCCCAGATCCACGACTTTATTACCTCCCTGCCAGACGGCTACGCGCAGCGCCTAGGTCCAAAGGGCATGTCGCTTTCCGGTGGCCAGAAACAGCGGTTATCACTCGCCCGTGCGTTGCTTCGGCAGCCGAAACTCCTTCTCCTCGATGAAGCAACGTCGTCTCTCGATTCAGAGTCTGAAAAGCTGGTTCAAGAAGCGATTGAGCGGGCGGCGAAAGATGGTCGCCGCACTATTCTCTCTGTTGCGCATCGGCTTGCGACGATTCAGAAGGCGGATGTTATTTTTGTGCTGGGGAGTGGGAAGGTGTTGGAGAAGGGGGATCATCAGGCTCTGCTGAAGAAGAGGGGGGTTTATTGGCAGATGGTGAGTTCGATCAGGTCTTCTCGATGTATCGTTGATGATGTGCTAACGATTTGGTGTAGTGTCAAGCCCAGGCTTTGGATGCGTAGATATTCTTCATACACATATTACGACAACTCTTTTCTAATAAACATAGCCAGTTATTTTATAGTTCTCACCTCATGTACTTTACCCAACTTTAAATTGACTTCATCTTGTTTGCTGCTTACCCATGTCATACTTCGCATAGCGAATGGTCTTGGTCCAAAAACAGACTAGCCCGGATCGGTCTCTGAAAAGAAAAATCAGACTCCGTCATACCCCCCCCCCCAAAAAAAAACTTCGCGCACAACCCATTCATTCAACGCAAAGTAATTGCTGAGCAGCTGCGAAATAGACACAAAAAAGAAAGCCCGACGTGGGGGTCGAACCCACAACCTTGAGATTTGAAACAATCGTGTCTTGTTAGGACGTGATAACTAAGAGTCTCACGCTCTACCGATTGAGCTAGCCGGGCTGGCTGTTGTTGCTTTCGATGAAGAAATGTCCATGGCAAACATATATATTTCGAGCAAATCTTGCAACGCCCATACCCTCGAAGTCGAGTTGCAGTCAAAAATGAGGATGAAGATGAAAAATTTGCTGGGGGTGCCCATGCAGAGTTTTTGCCAATGACCGAACTATCCGCCTCTTCTTGCTGGACCCTGGGGCCCGCCAATAGAGATGCGGCGTTGTACTGCTAGTAGATCCTGGTTCTGGCCGGGAATGCTGCCTTACGGAAACCCATTATTCAGACTCTCTGGATTTATAATCCGTGGCCGAGTACAGAGGCGAGCGTTGTCGATTCTTCTGTTTCCTGCTTATGAAACCGGGTGAATTGGAGACCACGACCTCAAAGACGAATGCATCTGGATTGAGGTATACAACCTACGTCGTGTGTTCTGCACTGTTCTGCTTGGTAATTCATGATTCGGTTGCAAATAGTGGCTCGAGAAACAGTCTCTATGCTTGTTGACTAGATATGCTTCCTACAACGGTAATATCAGTAGGCCTCCCGCACTGAAAGCGGGATACTCTTGTAACCGAGGTAAGCGCGTACGATGGTGGCGGCGAAGCCCGACGACTGTATTCCAGCATGCACATCTGAATACATCAATGTGAATGCCTGTTCGAAAGATGTGTGTGCGTGCAAGGATGTTAGTAGCGTGTGCGTAGTGTTGCGTTTGCTTGACATCACAGATGCGAGTGGTGGGTGTTTCAGCGCCACGCTTATGGCTGCGTTGAGTTGGTGCTTGGCGATGCCTAAGTAGGGACACGTTAGCAAATGCGAAGCAGGTGTGGATTCATCAGGAATTGATGATAGCTTGTATGTTGCAGGGCGATAAGCTCTCTAGATGCATGTGTACAGTAGAGCGCGTAGGTGTGGATAGCACCCCTAGTGGATCACGAGTCGAGGGTACACCTGGCCATTCTAGCTAGTACATGCAGGTGTTATGACGCCAAGGTCAACTTCACCTCAATACTTTTATTGTTTCTATCACCGAACCTGTAGTTGGTTTTACAAGGTTCCACTTCGAGTTTTGGATTAGATCGACTGCCAACCGTGAACTGTGTTATTATATCCCAACAATGCTATAGCAAGCGAAAGTGGCAGGAATGCAAGATGTGGAAGATTTATGGATCGGAAAGAGATAATATCGAAGGCACTTAATGATAGAGTTACTGGAAATACATTCTTCTTGCGTAGGATTAGCTAAAAGTAGACATCTGTCTGTGTCTTCGCTGGTCTGTGCTACTAAACTCATGTCAGACCAGCATAATCAAAATCATGATCACAGACTGCAGTAATAGATCCAGTCATAGAGTCCTGTAAAATTTCCATGGCGAATATACAAACGTAATCAATGCACAGCAGATAGGATGCCAGAGTAGGGTGACACGTCTGAGCCAGCACAGTCTCGGCTTCGACCCCGGACCACAGCAGCCCGAATGAAAAAGTTAACGATCACCAAATCGGCTTCACCGATGTGTGATGTGGGTAGACCTACCCTTGAACCCGACTTAACCGATAGGCAGCAACTTTAAACCCATTGGCCAAATCCTCACTCCCTGTCGATCCACGGATACGTGTTATCAGAACATGTATCGCAGGCCTCGATACCTATCAAGGCCACCTGACCTTTTCTCATCTTCGTCACCAGCAGGCTGTGTTCCCGAATGATTCGCCGTTATACCTTCTACTCGGAACCACGATAGCCGCATAGCCGGTACATAACAAAGGGATCTAAGCCACATCCCAGCGCGCAGCCATACCTTCCTAAACAATCAAACCAAGACCACTAGGCCCCAGGACCCCCAGAAACGGTTTATCCCGTACCCGTCCCAATGGGTCTCATGGATTTCATGCTCAGGAACGCCTTGACCTCAGTTTAGGCCTCCAGAATCGGACCATCCCGTCTTACTACCGAGAAAGCTTAGCCCGTGTCATGTAGTATGCGTACGCGTCCATTTCGCTTACCCTTGCAGAGGCATACCACGAGGTTGAAACAGGACCCTTGTATATGTTGTTAGGATCCTTGGGATTGGTACTGTAATAGGTAGCACAGCCTAGATGTTGCTCCCTCCGTGCAGTATTCTGTTGCCTAGGCCGATCACAAGAGACTTTGTAACATCGGTTTTACTACGGAGTGAGGGTATTAGAGGGGATTATGCCATTCTGCATATGGCAGCTGGTTAACTATACCGCTGTTTCATATCCAGGGTAGGACTATCGGTCTTAATCGTGAGAAGTACATGTTAGAATAGAGAAGATTGTACGTGAATCTTGAAACCAGTAATCTCAGTGGATTGTACGTATGAGTAAAATGGACATGTCACCAATATACGTATGCTCGTGCAAAGCACTGTAACCAAAATCTACGTCATCAACACTCGATGCAAGCACGTTTGGATACCCAAAACCAAGCAGAGCATACATCCAAAAGTGAACACATACGTAGGGATTCTCTACATTCCCATCCTTCAACACGTACCACCTTGACCAGCACATCCAATCTCAACCTCAGACTCAAAATCCTTCCATACACACACACACCCAAAACATACATTCACACATGCAGGAACGCGTACCTCCACCCCCAATCTCCAACCCCAACCTCCAAACCTAGTAACCCTAGTCTCCAGGCAACCATTTCTCCCCATTCCAGAACCCCAACGCCCCCTCTCCGTCCCTCCTCCCGCTCCGAACCCTTCGCCCCAGGAACAACTTTCTCTGGTCCCGTTTCACGATACGGAACAAGGGTACGTAGCCCCCCCCCCCCGCATCCGACGTGCTCAACCAATGAGCAAAAAGGGCCGATGATGCCGTTGCCCGATGCAGTGCCCCGATACGACGCTAGGGGAGAAGGAGCTACTAGCGGGAAGAGACGAGATGAGAAAGATACATACTTAGTTTGATGACGGGAATACGAGCAAGGGAGGGGGGGGATTGAAGCAAAGATACTATGTTTGTCAGCGAAAGTTTTTTGTAACAGACAAGGGGGGGAGGAAGGGTTCAAGCATCGAGCGGTCCTATCACGGGGTTGCCGATGGGCAAGGGGGTGCTAGGATGGTGCTTGTTCGCGGCATGTGGAGTACTAAGGTAGTAGCGTGGATTGGGGATTTTGGTATTTGAGGACTTAGAGGGTGCGTAATATAGAGGTTTTGGGACTAGGAGGAGGAGATGGAACGGGTTGGGGATTGGTGACATGGGAGTTTTAGTTTACGTGGCGCATAGTCGTGGTTATGGATGTGGGAGGGGTGCTTGTCAAAGGGCGTGCGTGTGTATGTGTATGTGTGTGTGTGTGGTCATGTGGATCCATCTGTTAGTAAGTAGTAACCAGTCCAATTAGTAAGTACCTATCCTCGCCAGTAGTAGACCAGAGAAGAGGCAGATAGTAAGGAGATTCGAAGCGACAAGCCATCAGGCGCCAGGAATTGTTGGCATGGTGCGGGTCAGGCTTCATTGCATGTTCCATGCATGCAAACTTCCGCGCGCAACGGCTCAGGCTGTTCCCAAGGCAGAAATGGGCCCAAAACGGTAAAGCATAAAGCAAGTAAGTTAGAAAACGAACAGAAAAACGGTGTCAAAGGTTATTATCCGTTTGTCAACGCGTTAAAAGTGGATCGTTAGCTTTTGATTTTCCCGGGTCCGTGGGTGTTGCGTGGGTTGCCTGATCTTCCTTCTTTGAACAACCTGCCACATGTCAACCATCGAAGTCCGTTATTACTTACTTATTAATCCAGGAGGGGAGGAGGGGCAAGACACGCGACATTATTACCACTGGTTAAATCGTAGGATTACAAAGAAAAAAAAAGATAGGAAGGGGGGAAAGGATACATTGGCGAATTACCCAAGTTTAGCGTTAGTTTTCCCGTTTTCTTGCACGAGGCGTTCCATTGTTTTTGCAACTCGGGGTTTGAGGCTGTGCAGTATCGCGTGTTTTTTTTTGCACACCTTCCCCTTGGTTGCCCAATCGGTTGCAACCATTTACACGGAGGAAGGGGGTTGGGGGACCTTGTTGCACATCTTTCTTGAAGGATTCCCACCGGCAAGGTATTTACTAGTAGGTAATGTGATAGAATGCAAGTGATGAGATGTAAGGTGATGCAATGTTCTGTGTATGGGTTGTGTTTATTTTTGGTAAATAAACGGAAGGAAGCTAAGATTTGCTGCGGGCCGCCTAAACGAGACATGGATGACATGCAAGGAAGAAGGAGAAGAAAACATGCAGTGGGTAGGCGGAAACAAATACCGTTACAATGTTGCATTACAGGATTCAAGAAAAAAATTGCCAGTGAAGAGTCACACTTCCTTTCCCACCCTCTCCTAGACTACCTACCCAATTGCATAGCTAACATATTTGCACAAATCTAATTTATGATCAAATGAAAGATGCCAAGCCTGTTTCCCCTGTCAGGTCCCTGACCGGTTTTGCACAGCCTCAAGAAGGGTAATAGGAATATTGCGAGTTTCTAGGATCCTGATACATTGGCGATGTTGTCGCGATATAATCCTGCTGACCAGACGTTCGACGTGGCGGCCCATGTGGCCTTGTGCCATACGGAGCGTGGGCCGTGGGGGCTGTGTAGACCGGACTTCGCGACATGATTGGTTGCTGGGCAATTTGATAGCTGCTATAGCCCTGAATCGAAGGGGTTGTGGATGCGCCGCCGGTGTGTAGCGATGGTGATGAAGGGTGCATGTACGAGGTCGTTTGATCCCATGGTAAAGGCATGTTTGGGTTTATTGGTGGTGGCTGGATGTATCCGTATTGAGGCAGGGTTGCTGACGACTGATGGGTATGTTGATCGGCTACAGCGGTAGGCATGGTGTATGCTTGTGCAGAGGACCATGTTGAGTATGCGTCGTTGTCCATACTTGACCACGAAAGGCGATGTCCTCTCGGTGACGGAGTGTGTAGAAGGGAATCGTACATTGCTGAGTTTGGAGATAGATAGCCGTCGTCTTCTGGATAGTTGGGGAACGGAGCAGGTGTACCGCAATCGGACGGAGAGCTTGGAGCGTTTGCGAGAGTGATGCCTTGGTTCTGATACCGCCGTACCAAGACTGTGTAGCTGTAAAGTGTTAGCCAATACTCCAAGATGTTTCTGAAGGCAGCATACCGATTCTTGATATCGTTCTTCGATCTTTCTGGGAAATGCTCCCGTTGAATATCCTTCCAATGGCGCCCGAGTTGCCGAACCGCGTCAATCAACTCATTGTCCTAAGACACCGAGTTAGCATAAGAACTACTCGATCCCTCCCAAGAACATTCCAAACTAACATCAGTCTCTTGCCATTCGCTCCGGTCTAGATTTGGATCGAGTGACTGCTGCCACCGCTTTGCACACTCTATTGATAGTAAATAAGACAAGCTGTTAGCAGAATACGGAGATACTTACGATCTGCGCTCCTTGTTCCTACACAGTTTGCTATCACTGTCCATCTAGAGGTATTCTGTCAGCAGCTTCATGAGTACCAGTGCCATTGAGGCCTACCTTTGGCCGTGTTCTTCAACTCCTCTTGCTAGTAAATCATCCTCGCTCTTTGACCATTGTCCCTTCTTGAGCCCTCCTGCCACAGAGTTGTGCCACCGTTTTCTACAGTCTTTGTTTGTTCGACCAGGAAGACTATCAGCAATCCTGCACCTGTGTTCCCGGTCAGATTAGAGGCTTCTATCATAAGAGATTGGAGCATACCAATCTTTGACTTCTCCTTCTCTCACTAAGAAGATGTCAGCCATTATCCAACACTATGGTCGCAATCTAGACTTGAGAAACAGAGAAAAGGCAATGGTTATTGAGAATTGCGAGAAACCAAGACTCACATTGAGCTTCAACTCCTTCTCTTAGCTTCTGATCTTCTGATAACGACCATTTTCTGGGAGGGTGACTGTGGGACCCCATTGGCAGTTCCATATATCAGATTCAAAGATGTTTCTTTGGGGTGGCCAGGACGGTGAGATAGTACAAAGAGGGTATGATCTGGTAACACAGCTGGGATAAGGGGTTGGCAGAAAAAGTAGTAGTGTCGAAAGGGCTTGGAAGAGTAATGAGGATGACTAGGTGTATCTGAGCCTAGATTGTACAAGATCTACCTTGGTTTTAAGGCGCAAGCGAATACTACCATGCCCATAGTCTTGGCAGGTCAGGCACTTGGCTATGGCGGAAAATAGACGGTAAATGGTTGCAAAGAAGCGGTATGCCAAGACGTAGTATCCCAGGCCACTCCTCCATGTGGCTAGCAAGTGCGTCGACTAGGGGATAGGCCATTTTGAAACTGTTCGGCGATTTACTGCAGACGCACTTGAAGGAGGCTTTGCCATTATGACGCGTGCGCACAGTACTAATGCATCGACCGACGGGCCACGATGTGTGTACAGCCCCAAGGATCCAGAAAAGGGTTGGTGGCCTGTAAGGCGAGGCTGCATGGGCCATTCACCGCTAACGAACCGAGGAACACCACAAACCAGGTGCCGGTCAGAAGAGCTTGCTGCTCCACAAGCCGTGCCTAAGTGGCTGGGGGCCGCACTGACAATCACGGGCCTAACGCACTTGTGGACAATTGCCCAAGTTGTCCGCTTGACGGGAACAAATCCTTCTTGTGAAGATGTACATATAACATTAGCCTGTAAGCAATTCCAAAGAACCACGAAATATCCTGCCACGGATGGGTGACGATTGTGTTATCGAGAGCTCGTTCGAGACTCACAGTGACGTACGTACATGTCAATTGAAGTCACTGAGTTGCTTAGCCATGAGTCAGCGCTGCGATGTACACACGAATCGAGTTGCGTGTGCAGCAAATGCTCCACAAATGTGACAACATTAGGCAACGATTTTTGATCTGATGGTCGAGTTAGGATTTCGAAGAGTAGTCCACAACGTGCCTATGGGGTTTGTCGTGTTTATACACGCTACGGAAGCCAGGCCGACCAAAATGTTGATCTCACACAAACCCGCTCTGGGTATGCCACTGATGACCAAATGAAGGACGTTACGAGACTCTATCTAAGTCGCATTGAGACTGTGAGTGATAATCTTTGATTCTGAATTATATTCTCATTCCATGCCGTACCAGCAGATAGTTGATGTAGTTTGACTGCTACGCGTCAACGTACGTAATTGAGTTGATTTGAAAAGACAAAACGCAAGATACTAGTGTCCGTGTATCTTAGATAGCAGGACTGAAGATAGAGTTTGGTGCCTGCACACTTAGTGCGGGGAAAACACCTTGTTCGGCAGGTGCCGCAATGGGAGAGTTTACACCGCGGTATTACTCCGGATTTGCACGCCGAATGTAACAGGCATATGACCGCAAAAGACCGGTGTATGCTACCCAGTAATCTTGTGCGATACAAGCGTTTTTCGAGCCGTCCTCGAGACGAGTCTCCACGCTTGAATCTAGCGTCCCTTGCCAGGACCGAAGGATAGGTTGTACATGCGACATGACACGACAGTATTTAGTGCGTATACTCACTCGACCACTCGAAGACTTGGGCAAGATGCTTCAGGTTTTGCCCATGATCCGTTGTGCTTTTGCAAGCAGGACAGTGCTTTCACGACCCAACTTTCGTTGGCCATTTGGACCTCCCCTTGCTTTTGCCATTGTTTTTCTGAAGCGCTCTCGCTCAGCGACCTTGTTAGCACGCTCCCTGTCAGCCTCTTCCTTGGCCTTCCGGCGCGCTTCTGCCTCGTCTTTCTTCTTTTGCGCCAGTTCGCTTTCTTTCTGGAAGGGCTGAGGGCGCGGTCGCCGTTGACGCCTCTCGAAGTTCTGCTGGCGCTCTGGTTCAGGCGACTTTTCCTCTAGCAGGACAGCACGGTCAGGGTGTGGCTCCAGAGTAGGCTCGGCCGCAGGTTCGGGAGGAGCTTTGTCGCCATGCTCGGTACTGGCTTCGCGTTCGTAGACTGACTTTGGTGGGTTGACGGCTTCCTTTTCCTCGCGTGCCTTGAGTTTGGCGTACTGCTTCTTAATCTTGGCTTTGTCTATAAGGCTCTTCTTGATCTTCTCAACTGGACTTGCAGTTAGCAGCTGCAGAAGGCAGTATGTTTGAAGGGGGAAAAGAGGCGTAGAGCACGTTGCGAAAACATGTCTGATATCCTGATGCGCATACTATGTCTAGTGCACTGCAGGGATGTGAATGAGAGGCGCTTACTTTTTCTTCGGTGTGTGCCATCGGGCAGATTCGCAGGCCCAATGGCGAAACCCTTCTTCTTCTTGAAGTCCTTACTCTTTGAAGACGACTTTGCGCCGCCCTCGTGTGGTCGAGTTGCGCCCATGGCCAAAGGTGTCTGTGGTGTCGCAAAAGTTTCGATGGGTAAAGGCTAGGATGGGAAAGGCAAAATGGCGCAGAGGTCCGTCAGGCTTGGCAAAGCGGAGCCCAGGGCGGCCGCGAATACGGCGGCGGCGGGGGACGAGGGTGTGACTGCTCTGTGGTAGCATGCATGTGAGTGCATGTGGACATCCTTACTACATACATACATACATACATACATACATAGCAGAGTCACAGTCCCTCGTGTCCCAACCCTATCCATCGCCGTGCTTCTTCCACACAGACACAGCCATTCTCCTCCTGTCGTGGGCACGTGCAGCCACCAATGCTCACAAAACTTGTTCTTTTGTTCGTCGTGTGACCGCGCCCGATGTAGCGCCTCAGCAGTCGCCGCACCAGCGACGTACATACTTTATCTATCAGCGCCGATGACATATATACGTACCACCTCGGGACAATTCTCGCACCTCGTCATCCGTCCTTTTCTTGCGCCACTCACTCACTCATTCTCTCTCGCTCTGCACCCCCACCTCCCGGGCTCCACGGCGTTTCGTCTTAAACCGGGCACCATGCCTGCGCAATGAGACGGCCACTGGAGCCAGCGCACCCGGGTTAAACTGGAAACTCTTACTCATACTATTCGCCGGGCCAGCAGGTGCTCCAACCGCGACAATTTGGCCCTCTTCGCCATCGCGACATTCCAACCGTCATCCTCGTGCTCTCACAAACGTCTCGCGCCAAACACTCTCGCTTGTATCCTCTGATCTGCTCAGCGCTCGTGCCTATGCCGTCCATTGCCACAATCTGCTTCAACCATGCCCATATTTCATGAGCCCAGTGATAGCCTGCGGGCGCCGTCAAACTTGCCTGAGCCGGTGACATCCAGCCGACAAAGAGTAGGGACCGCAGAATCGGGGGTCGAGGGGGCGTGGAACAGCAGTATGCATGCACAAGTACCGACCGCACTTGAATCCTCACTCGACGCGGACCCCGCGTCGCCCAACCAAACGCGCAAGTCGTCCATATTCGGCCGCAAAGAATGGGTAGAAAGAATCAAAAAGACAAACAGCCCGTCCTGGCTGCAGTGGCAGGGTGTGAGTATTGAGTCGCCTCGAGGGCATTGCCGCTACACGGTTCGTCACTGTCATACCAAGCACACCGCTGACCCTTTCCCCTTAGAGTGACATCACCACCGATCCCGATGCTTCCATCCGCCCCAATTCCCGTGAGCGCTCAAAGACCCCTCTTGCTCCTGCTGCCGACTTGCAATCGTCACAACCCTCCACTCCTGAACACTTGCGAGACCCCGCAGTCGCAGGTCTAGAAATCCAGCGCCCCCGGTCTGCATTGCACTCGGGAGACTTCAGAGAGAAACCAGCAGGGTGCGCTTCCAGCAACGACATCTCGTCCTCGGCTTTCCTCGCAACGTCTCCAGTCGTTCCATGGGATCGTTCTTTTCCCTCGGCGGCGTACAATGCGAACCGACATGACGTCTCATACGTCGACCCGCGTAACCGGGACAATCGCACAGCCCCGCGCTCACGAACGACATCACGGTCATCGCTTAGTTCAATAACGCTTTTGCCTCCAACAAGCCCGCTCGTACATCAGGCAAACAATACAGATTTGGATTTCTCTTCTAGGCCGAGCTCACTTCAAACAACTCCAAGCCCTAGTAGGAACAGTCGCCGACACACATACTCTCCTGCGTCTTACCACGGCTACCAGTCTACCCACATGGCACGCTCTACAACTGGAACACCTGCTGCCCGTCATCTACGCTATAGCAGTTCGATACCTTACCAAGCACATCAACCTCGGCGGTCATCAACAATCAATCACTCAGAACCCCAATCTTTTTCTCAATCACAATTCCTCAACCCACGACGGCCATCATTCTCATCCGAGGCGTCTCCACTCCAGCACGCACCCATGGTAGGCTCCTACGAAGAGTCCATATTGCGGGGACGCATGTCTACAACCCCATCACGGCCCCTTGACTTTGTGGCGAAAATTGGTGTTCTTGGACGAGGGCAGTGCAAATCAAGCCTCAAGTGCCCACCTCACGTCACAATTCCGTTTCCCGCAGTCTTCTACAGCTACAATACAGGAAACGGTAGGATATCAGATAATGAGCCAAGTCCGTATGTCGGCCTCATAGACTTGGAGAACTCACTACCCGCTCCCGACGAAAGCAACGAACCTGGCAAACGCAAGCGACGACACGCCGCACCTGCTCCGGATCAAGATGACCTAGACTTTCGGATACAGCTTGGTGACGAAGAAAATGCACAGGCTGTAAAGGAAGATCTGCGTCGGAGAGAAAAGAAAAAGCGACGATCCACGTCTCCAAAAGCACCTCCTGGGGGCTGTTATCGAATTCCCCCGCAGGGTCAACTTCAGATTGTTTTGAAGAACCCAAACAAGACGGCAGTGAAGCTGTTCCTGGTCCCATACGACGTATCAGACATGGAGCCAGGCCAAAAAACATTTGTCCGACAGCGCAGTTATTCCGCCGGTCCCATAATAGACATGCCCGCTTCTTCGCGGAAAAATCTCGGTACTGATCGTCCAGAAGCTGCCCTCAGCGGTTCAGATGACCCCAACGATCGCCCGATTCTCCGTTACTTGATTCACTTGCACATATGCTGTCCCTCAAAAGGTCGTTACTACCTATATAAAAGTATACGTGTCGTCTTTGCCAACAGAGTCCCTGATGGTAAGGAGAAGCTAAGAAATGAGATCCAACAGCCAGAGCCAAGGTACAGTACCTACAAACCAACACGCGACTCATTGGCATCACAAAAAACTCCGTCCGTTGGATCCCAGTTCACCAACGAGGGAGATTTGCGTCGTCGCAGTGCGGGATGGCCGCGCTCTCATTCACAACAAGCGTACGACCAGCTTGATGGCTTGAGCCACCATGCGCCAATGCCTCCTATAGCTGTCAAATTCACAGGTGGTACTACAAACTCATCTGCATCGAGCAGTTTCAGTTCGCATATACCCGATATGCAGCCTATACCTTTCAATCTCGGTCGATTAGCTGCAATCGAATCACGACCCGTCTCGCGGGATCAAATGGAGGTAGATCCGAAGAGCCCTTTCAGGACTCCAGTCACATCTCCGCGCCCCGGTGTCAAGAGCCTGATGTCACACGGCGAAGGTGCCTTTGAAAAACTGAACAAAGGTGACATTGGCTACGGCGGAAACGCATTCTCTCCTATCAGCAGTCCGAATAGCCCTCCCAGTGCGGGTTTGCTGTCGCAAAAGTTGCGTGGTTTGGACGTTGAGCGTAATGAATAGTAGGCCTGCTTGTGCTCTTGATGTGTTCATGGGAAAAATCTAGTCTTTGGGTTTTTGGTTTCAAAATTTCATAATATGGTCACCCGAAGGCGTCTAATACCCCGTTACTCTTCTCGTTTCGATCACGCCGGCGTTGCTGAATGGCGCTACCACATGGCAGGAGTATAGGACTGTTTGATGGACCCGAGATTCTTACTAGCTAGTACTTGTAAACATAGTTGGTACGAATATCTACTCACCTCTTCAATTACGCATTGCCCAGTCTTTTGACAGAAAGCTTCCTTGCGCCAGTGCCACTGTCTGCCCTTGGAATGGTTTGCATAGGCTCAAGGCTGTTAGCCTTGTCGTAGGGCTTAGCGTGTATATGCATCTTGCCCCAGCGTTCGCGAAGAGTGACGTCGGGATTAATTTCGTTACATCCGAGGACTAGCACGCTCTGCTCTGAACTGCATCATCAATTGTCTCTGCTCACAAAACACCCGGCACGCCATATCTTGCAGGCTAAGAACAACAATCTCATACATAATTTTCTAATTAATCCGCTGCATTGTAGAGTAGCAATGGCTTCCAAGCGCGCGGTTCAACTCGGCATCCACGCACATGCCTCGGTCATAGGTCGACAAACTTCGCGATTGCGCTTGAACGCTACACAAGCTTTCAGCCTTGCGTTGCGCCAGCAAAGCACAAGCGCTTCTAAGAGCAGGTTGTCAATTTTGGGAAATACACCAAGTGTGCAATTGGCGCCTGTACAGAAGAGATGGCATTCGCAACAGCCGCCCAACCTAAACAAAGTCTACCAGTTTGAGGATGTGCGTAGCTTCCTTACGGTTAGTCCTTATTTCTTGAGTGTTTTTATTGATTTTTTTCAAAGGTCCTTCACATTCTCGAACATCCCTCCGACTCTCGCCTGCTCATCGACGTACGCGAACCCCATGAATTCGAGGCCAATACTATCCCCACTTCTATCAACATCCCCGTTACATCCCAGCCGGATGCGCTGCTCCTAAGCGAGGAAGACTTCGAGGATCGCTTCGGGTTCCAGAAGCCACCCAAAGGCAAGGAGGTCGTGTTTTTCTGCAAAGCGGGGGTTAGGAGTTCGGCGGCGGCGGGTATTGCGAGACAGGCGGGGTAAGTTGATTCTCTTATGAAGTAAAAAACTACTATAAATTGAGAGTTTTGTGTCATATTGAAGACTACTATAGCTAACAAAGGACAGATACCAAAACGTTGGTGAATATCGTGGCTCATGGCTTGACTGGCAGAGACGCGGTGGACCAGGTACAAAAACCCCACCAAAGCCGGATGGAATTGGAGAGCCCAAAGAGCCTAGGACGGAAACCAAGCCCACGGAAAGGACGGGTAGCAGTGGAGAGGAGGATATTGGTCCTGAAGGACAGCCTGTACCACCACCCGGGGGTATTGTTACTGGCCGACAGTAGGACAAACTGTACACCAGCTAAGCGGGAGCACCAAGATAGAATGTAATGCAAGGTCGTTTGAGAGGTGTATATAGTGTGATTTGTAGATAGTTCAGTAGTACGTAAATTGACATTACATTCATCAACTATGTGTATATGACATGACCTGTGGTATAAATCTAAACATGAACGAGGCATGGTAAGGTTGACGTTATTCGAGTAACCCAAACACTCAAATCCTCGTCCTCAATACCCTCATCCCTACTTACACTCCTCCTCAAAACACTTCTTATACTCCCCCCACAACTCCTTAACCCCCTTCCCACAACAATCCCTCCACAACCTCTCCTCATCATACTTCTCCACCCTCAACCCCTCATTAATCCTTCTCACAACATCCCTCCCATGCTCCCTCTCCAACCACTCCAGAAAATACCCCGTACGCTCATACCCAGCATCCCACTCACAATCCACATGCCTCTTCCAATGCGGCGGCGCATACCCGGCCTTCAACCTCACCCAATCCGCAATCCCTTCCACCAGGCCCCCCGGCGCCGCTCCTTTGCCATCCCACTGCCAACAATGCACCATTTCATGCACCAGCACACCGAGCATCTCTTCCTTGACGCGCCCCGCGTCGATGCGCGCGATGTACGAGGTGTTGAAGTGGATTTCCTTGTGATCAGAGTCCAGGTCTAGCCCGGTGGTGTAGGCGACGCCGTCCATGTCGCGTAAGACGAGGGTTACGGAGCGGGTGGGCGGGATGCTCGAGGGTGGGAGCGAGGTGTAGAGGTGGGTTAGCACCGTGGTGACGGCCGTCGAGAGCGCATCCGAGGCGTGGAGCAGGCGCAGGAAGGTGTGCGTGCCCGCGCTGGAGAGGTCGCGGAGTTCGAGGCGGAGGAGGGGGGTGCGTGGGGGGGTTACGATGGGGTGGGAGGGGTGGGCCGAGTAGGAGAGGGGTGGGTTGCTGGAAGAGGAGGAGTCTGAAGGGGGGAGAGCGGAAGACTGCGGGGCGGGTGGGTCGGAAGGGGGGGTGGTGGTGTTGGTGGTTGTGGGTGCGGACATGACTTGGTAGTGTTTGGTGGGTTGCGGAGACATTGGTTTTGGTGGAGTTGGACGCGACTTTTTTCGTGTTTCCCGTGGGGTAGGTAGTAAGTGAGCGGGTGGTACGGTTTATAAAGTGTTATGAACCCACGTGTTTGCTCCTTACATGTTTGAGCTCGAGCAAGAGGTTGGGACCATGTGCCGGTACGTGCCGCGGGAGGATTGCTCCAGCTTAGATAATATTAAACAAACTTTCATGGCCACTTCACGAATTCTGTAATGGGTCCTAGATTGATTGTATCCTTCTATATGTAATTCTATCTCTTCAGATCTTGATTAACGGTGTGTGGGGCTTCTGATGTTGGGAAGTCGTCGATCCTCACGTTCTATATCAGGTATATCCTCCATAGTCTAACCCCAGTTCTTTATTGCGAGCTCTTGAATACTTCAGGGAAAATCTTGCGCAATTCCTGTAAACTGCGGATCTGGTACTTGCTGGCGGGTACTTCGGGCGCTGGATCCTTTTCGTCCAGCAAGTGTGCTGTTTTCCATCCTCGTTCTTCAGCTGCTTTGCAGTTGATGTACGAGTCGTCTGACATGATATTAGTGACATTCGAAGAAAGCTCATTCCTCAGATCTGACTCACCAACGAAGTAGCATTTTTCATTCGACTTGATGCCCGCTTCAGCCATGGCCTTTTCGAACATCTCAGCATGTGGTTTGCAGTAGAACTTTTCCGATCCGTAATCACAGTAGGTAATTCCTTCGAATAGATCGTCGATTTGCAGCAACTTGACGACGCGCTTGCCATGGTTGATGTAAGCGTTAGTAAATAGCCATAAGCGGACTTTGCTGGTATCGATGTCTTCGATCAACTTGCGTAGTTCCGGGTTGGGCTTGATGACGTCTTCCAAAGGTAGCGCATCATCGACTTTGCTGTTGTACTCTAGTGCGTCAACCTTGTGGTGGCGCACGAGTCCTTCGATCGCAAGACCGTATTCTCGGTAGTACCGGAAGTGCAGTTCGTTGGCGTCTTGTTGTGATAGACTCAGGTGGTCTTGGAAGAACTGATCTGTAAAAGTTGAGCTGATGTTTAAGGGAAAGCACAGAACTTCCTAATAAGAGCAGAAGGTCGAAACATCTGACTGGATTATAGAAGTTTAGCTGAAATAGAGGGATACTTACCTATCAGTTCGCTCATCATACGGTGGATTTCGAGACCTGATTATGTTAGTGTTGAGTATTATAAATTGCGTACTACGAAATACACACTCTTTGGATAAAGCTACATAACAGTCAGTAGGTGTTGATCAAGTCCCAAGGGCTCACTTACACAATTGTCAATATCAAAAAAGAAGACAGGCTTCTCATTCTCGTCTACAACAGCTGTACCATTCGCGGGTGAGTCATGTGCGGGTTTCGACCGATACTTCATGGTCTCCGGCGGTGCAGCGGTGTTGAAGTGCATCGTGTTGAGTTGGGGTTGATAGTTGAGAAGTTGGTTTCGTAATGTTTTGCGAAATGGCAATACCAGAATCAAGAATAGTAAAGATAGTGGTCGGAGGGAGTGACACTAAAGTATGTCAGATCAATGCAAAGCGAGAAGCAAGACGGCGGTGTTGATATGTGATGTCGTCATACCTCTTTATACCAGTGCAGACGACGAGTACCGAAGAATGTTTCGAGGAACTTCTGTCGGATCGGAACTCGGCCCTTCCATTCACAGTCATCGAAGGCGCGATGAATACATGACCGACTAGCATTCCTGTTTCGGACTAGCCCGAATTGGCGCGTGCATCACTGAAAACCAAGACGCGCTGCAACTCCATCTCTCCGCATTCCCGCTGGCCGCTGTCAACCCCCTTCCCCTTTATCAATCCCAACACCCAGCTCAGTCGCGGGTGCTGCCTATATTTGTATAATCGCCAACGTTGCGCTTGCTTCTTGGTGCTGGTACTGATTTTTCGGCCTTCTTTTCTGTTGTAATCGCAGCGCAAATGGCTTCAATGTCGTCGACAGCCACAGCGCCGTCGTCGCATTTGAACGGGGCCAGCGCGGTATCTGCAGAGGTGCTTCGCGAGGCTGATTTCCTCCAGAAGATTCTGCAGATACGCGATGAGGTCTTCGCGAGCAAACATCCGCGTATACACCTTCCAGCCAAAGTAATTGAACAGGTTGCACCGCGTCTTCCCCAAGCCGCCTTGGCCAGGCCTACGACCAACGGCACGCCCAACGGACCCTCGTCACAGCTGCTTCCTCCGCGTCCAGCATCGTCCGCGCGGCCCCCTACATCTCCAATACACGCTACACAGCGACCATATTCGGCCAAGTCTTCGTCATCAGGCATCGATCCTGTCCTGCTCACAAAATCTGAACATCTGGTCAAGGCAGAGCAGCAGCTCAAGCGACAGCAAATAGAACGCGCTCTCAAGGATCAGTTTGACCGAAAGGGTCGCGGCAACGATGTTGATGAGCGAGAAGCTCTCATCGATGTGGAACAGTGTTTGATCAAGGCTCACCAACTGGTTCCGCCTGTTTCTGGCTTACCATCTACGGCTAACAATAGTGATGGCGTCGAGTCGTTTGACGAGAATTCCTATTATTCTAGCAAGGCAGACAGCTGGTCGCCAGAGCCTGATCACGCTGACCATGCTCATGCTACTGCAGCTCCACTGACCCCGCAGGCGCAACAAACTGCCAAGCAAGTGAATCTTCATACTCGTCCCGCCCACCCCCCAGTGATCGATCTGGACGAGGAGGCCTACGAGCCGGCTGATGACATAGAAATCTATGAACCTGAACCGGCACAAGTGCATGAGGAAGGTGACGAAGAAGAAGACTATTCTCCGCCTCCAGCCGACGTTGGTCCTAGTGAACCACCAAGAAGCCGGGGCCGCAACCGCAATGGTGGAACAAATGGGTATGATATTGAATTCTTTCATCTACGTCTTTTTCCTTTCATGGCCACTTGACACATTCTGGATCCCGGGTAACATTCAACGCCAAATAATCGCATGAGACATTAATGTTTCGTTGTTGAGTACCATCCGACTTTGGAAGCCGTACCTCAGTCTGGAAAATATCTTGCACGGCGAACGGAGGTCCTACAGTATTTCTGCATCTGGCACATATATTTTGAGAATGTCTAGGATTCATGCTAATTTACGTATAGTTCATCACGTCGCCAGAGCCCAGCCGGTCCAGGGCAATCGAGTCAAAATCCTCGCAAGCGAAGAAGAGAGGAAAGGAGACGACAGCAAGCCAGCAAACAGGTTGCACAATCTCCCGAGCCTTATATCAAAGAAGAGCCGCAATCACCTCCTCCGTTCGGATCTTACTCTGATCCGCAGCCCAGTAAGCGTCGTGCGCTACAGCCACAGCCCGATGATTTGGAGGTTGTGTCGGCGCAGGCAAGTCCTCGAATGCAACCTGTCTACTATCGCGACCAGGATCCGTTTGTACGTTCTTATCGTGAACTTGACGAGCCATCCTCGTCTCCTGCCGTCATACGCACACCACAACGCAAAGCACTGCGCGACGACCAAGATCTTAGACGGGTTGCGAGTCTACAATATGCGCGACGACCGTACTCTCCTAGTGGTGAAGGGCAGATGTATGTTGCGTCAGAGCCACGTCAGATGCGCGCAGCATCTCATGCCTTCATCGAGCGCGCCGAAGCGCCGCCCGTATACCGAGAAGCATCGACGCGCCCACCAGCAGCACCTCGATATGTCCAGGGTCGGTCACGATCCCCCGTGCACGAATACATCTCACATGGGCATTCACCAATGCTCATGGCCCCACCACCCCGCCGAATTGTTGTGGACCAGTACGGCAACAGATATTACGCTGCGCCAGTGGATGCTCGAGAGTCAATGGCGCCGCCAAGTAGGCGTATTGAGGTGGACCCCTTTTACGAGCGCGCGGTTACGCAAGAGCCTAACATGCGCGCCCCTACTCGGACAGAGTTGTATGAAGGCGAGGCTATACAGAGAATGCCGCCACCACCGCGACGGTACATCGAAGCGTCAGAGGTTGAGATGATGGAGAGCCCGTATCGTCACCGTGAGGCGTCTCGTCGTCCAATGGAGGTGGAGCATCGACCTGGGCCACAGTACGAAGAGATGGGACCTCCGCGAGAGTATCCTCCGGCGCGATCATACAGCATGCGTCCCGAGGGAGTGCGAAGAGAGATACCCGAGGGCTATGTGCGGCACGAAAGCATACAACCGGTGACGGTACGTGGATCGCAACCACGGTTCCGGGAAGTCAGTGTTGTGTACCAGGAGCCGTTTGAGGAGCATCAGTATATCAGCGCGCCGCAAAGTCGACGGTACGTCGAGGAGGGGCCCATGGAGGTAGGACCAGGAGCGGAAGCGTATGCTGGCGAGGGGCGTCACGTGTATGCGCGGTATTGAGGTTTGTTGCTACAAGGTTTGGGCTTTTTGACTAGCTGCTGGGCACATTGTATAGCTTGTGTTGTAATGTGAATACGACGGGGTCATTGGATAAGGCCAAGCATGTGAAAGAAGAGAAGGTAGCTTTAGTTGAGAGTAATACATGATGGCTTACCAAGGTTGTTCGCTTCGCTTGTTGTGTACTTGGGGATTGTCCCATGATACAAAAAACGAAGGCATCAAAAGTGAGGGAGAGAGAAAAGAGAGAGGGAGCAAATGGAGGAGGGGCTTGGCAGTGGGCAGGCGGGTGTTTCAGGGCGATGTGGCGCAAGGGTGACGCAGGCCGGGTGTAGAGGCCGACTAGTAGAGGGGTGGTTATACCAGATGAGGCTGGCCGGCTCGCATCCGTCATGGGACGGCAGGGGGGAGGGGCGCGGACGTAATAGTCGGCAGCGTGGAAGTGGGAGGAGCAGCGGGAAGAGGGTCGGGCGCCACGAGCAGTGTACATAGGCGCATGTGTAAGTATGTATGTGTGTGTGTGTATGTGTGTATAGTAGGTGTAGTAGTGTATGGGGGGTATAGAAGAGTGTCGTGTGCAGGCGCTTGGACTTGCCCTCAAGCCTGTTTCGTCACCGGCACGCGGTGTGTTTCTCATGCATCGGGCCATGCTTGTTTGCCACGCAAAGAGCTTCTGTCGAGGCACCAAGGCCGTGGGCATGAGGGTTTGCACCTGTGCATGTGTAAATATACACCGATGCTAGTATACGGCATGGGGACGAGGGGAAGCAGCCGGGTCCCGCGTCATGTCTATTCTTGCCCGGCAAGGCCATGATGGTGTAATACGCAGCGAGTCTGAGCGCCCAACTATACTGGTTTGGTCGAGGATGTGCAGGCTCTCGGTCCACCACCACCACACAGCCCAGCTCAACAAGCAGGCGACTCGACGAAGAAGAATAGAAGAATCCAAACAAGAAGCTGATGATGCAGCACGCCAAAACAAAGCAGATGTGAGAGACCCCAAAGACCCACTGCACTCGACGGCCGGACGAGTATTTCCCAGCCCCCTCTCGCCCTCTGCCCCCCCCCCCTCTCTGCTGGCGAGGACAAGCCGGTGTTGGTCGTGGCCACGCAAGGCGAGGTTGCTTTTGGTGTTGGAGGCACGCTGGGGCCCACCATCGCGAGTGCAGCCAATCAGGCGCCCGCTCCGCCTTGCTCGACGCTCGCTCGCCCGCCAGCTGCTGCTGCGCTCCCCATCTTCCTCGTCCTTCTTCCCTTTGCCCTCTCCCACCCACCAACGCCCGCCAACTCCCCCGGGCGTATCCTCCACCACCATGCACAAACTCTCAAATTTCCCGGCACAAGCCCGGCACGGCTGGGAGAAGATGACCCCCTCGACCGGCTTCTCGTTCTCGAGGTCCAACCACGAAATGCCCGTCACAGCTCCGATCAAGCGGCCCTCGACCGCAACCTCAGCCCCGCCCGTCATACCGCCCGGCACCCAGGTCAATCTCTCCTTCAACGTGCCCTTTTCTTCCAATCTCGCTGGCCCCGACCCGGACGACATCATGTGGGCCAGCCCTGGGGCAAAAGCGCGATGGACCCATCCGGAAGGCACGGCAGATTCGACGCCCACACACAAACTGCCTGTACACGCCCAAAACGTCGACAACCTGCGCAACCTGTGTCGAGAGGTGAGCGAGCAGACGGACGGACGCGTGTCCGCCGTTGTCACGTCCGCAGAGTCCAAGCCGCTTCCTGGCCTGCAGCGGGGCCCGTTGCGGGCCCTCGTCACCAACGTCTGTCTATCTGGCGAACTCGAGATTGTCAACTCGATGCGCTGCCGGATCCTCAACTCGACGCCCATTTCTCTGGTAGGCTGCCCGTTCGGAGTTGCAACTGTCGGCCCGTTACTGACATCTTGGCACAGCGATCATCCTTTGTCGATATTGATTCGCAGCTCATCATAGATCCGCCTACGCAAAATGTCCGAGGTGCTGTGCTCAACCAGCTCGATCTCATTGCCAAGGCGACCAAAGCCGACATATTCCTGCTCATGCCCAAGCAGCCCGACATTGAGACGGCCAGCTTCCACGGCAACATCGATACCGGAGCCGACCCGCGCCTTCGATGCGCCATCTACGGAGACCTCGAGACCATGGAGCACGCAAAGACGCGAGTGCTGATTATGATCGACCAGATTGTGAGTTTCTTGATGCCCCACTGATGTCCGCTAGCGCTCCATGCTAACCGGTATGCCATCACAGCTTAAGCGATGTGTTGATACCATGAAGCTGGAACTGACCATGCATACCCTGATATGTGGACGTGGACGCAAGAACATCAAGATGATTGAGTCAGCTACAGGCACCGCCATCTACTTCCCCCCGCCATTTCCGCGCTTGTTCGGCTATACGCCACCGGGTGCCCAGCGCCGTCCCGACGATCTAGTCTACATTACGGGAGAAAACTCCGAGAACATATTGCGCGCTAAGCAGCGCCTGCATGATCTGGTCATGTCTACCAAAGTCTTTGTGAAGCCCGTCATGGTCACTGACACTAAGCTCGATGCTATTCTGCTCGAACGTCTTGACAAAGTCCGCAAGATCATCGAGAACAACGGATCGTACATCCTGCTACCTCCTCTTGGTGTTCAGCGTGGTGTTGTGCGCGTACAGGGCACCGACGTTTTGCACGTTGAGCGCACTGTACGCGAGCTTATGCAACTTGTAAGTCTCTGACAGTCGGCCACTGTGCGCATCTACTCACAAATTTTCCCAGGCCGGCCAGTTTTACAGTGCATCGTGGTTCATCACTCACCCTGACCCTACGCAACGTCCTCCCACTCCAGCTGACGTTCGTGCTATGCTCTCCGACATCTGCATCAACTCTGGTGCCGAAGTCAGTTTTGAGAAGCTCAACTTCCATATCTATGGATCTGATGATGCTGTACGAGCTGCTCTCATGGTTATCAGTAACATCCCCTTTGTGAAGAAGTCGCAGTACAACATGAGCGTCAAGATTGAGCTTGCCAACGAACACAAGGAGTTTGTCAGCGGCAAGAAAAATGGCAAGATTAACAAGATTATGAGTCACAGTAGTGTCCAGATTGTCTTTGATGGCTTCAATGAGTACAACTTCTACATTGTAGTCCGTGGCGCCCAGTACGAAGCCACAAAGAATGGTCTCGATCTTGTAGAGCAGGAGATGCCCGCATCCATCTCCTTCCATGTACCTGACCAGTACCACAAGCGCATTATTGGCATCGGCGGTCAGCATATCCAACGCATCATGAAGAAGTATTCCGTCTTCGTCAAGTTCTCCAATGCCATGGATCGTGGTGGGTTCGGCAAAGAAGAAGACGACATCAAGGTCGACAATGTCATCTGCCGCACACCTGCGCGTAACGCTCAGAACCTAGACCTCGTCAAGCAAGAGATCATGGACATGGTCGAGAAGGCTGATGCCGAATTCGTCTCTGAGACTATCAACATCAACCGCTTGTACCACCGTGAGCTCATTGCCCACCTAGACAAGATCGACGAGTTAGAGAAGAAGTTCAACTGCAAGATCACCTTCCCTAGCACTGAGGAGGCTAGCGACATTGTTACTGTGTCTGGCCCTGAGTACCAGGTGCCATTCGCAGTCGACGAGTTCTTGGTATGTTTTCTTTTCCCTATCAGTGTATCTCAAGACATTCTCACTAACCAATTCCAGGGCATGGTGCCAGAATCTCACGATCTTGCCTTCCCTTCAACCACTGGGCTCAGCGAGCACATTCGCTCCGCAGAATTCAAGGCTGAGATTCTCGACAAGCTCAAGACTCAACATGAGGTCGATGCCCAGCTCCAGCCAGCTCAGACTGAAACCACTGATAGCAAAGAAGAGCAGGTTGAGGCTTTCCACATTGTCTTCACTCGCAACAATGCCGGTGGCTTGAAGGATGCAATTGACTTCTTGCTCAATCACCTTGTCATGCACGGGCTGGATACTAACACGGTTCGTGGCGCGCTTCCACGTCCCAAGTCTGACTCTTTTGAAGACTCCTTGCCCTTCTTTGAGTCGAAGCTTCTACAGCGTGCCGAGCCTGCTGTCGACAGCACAGACTCTCCCACTCGCTCTCACTTTGGTGGTGATGATGAGCCTCGTGGTATGCTGGACCGCCTTCGCAAGCCAGGCAGCATGTCATCGTTCACGTCCATTTTCAACGGACGTAAAAATACCAATTCACCCGGATCGCTCTTCAAGCATGCTTCTAGCAACGCTTCCAAGGCATCCCTTGCCAGTCTAGAGTCCACCGGTAGCTACCGCAACCCGTGGAACGACAGCGGCATCAACTTAGCAGACGATGAGCACCACACCAACGGCTGGCCCATGCCAGCCCCTCGTTTTGAGTCCAAGTTTCCTTTTGGTTCCTCTTCCGCGGCGTCTGGGGACGTGACTCCCCGGTACGATCCGCGGGGCTCCGTGGACAGCGGGCGCCCTAGCACTTCTCATTCTGCATCTGGATACCCGGCCCCTATTGGGCCTCCTCGTTAAATGATACACCAACAATCTCGAACCATTTATTTGATACCACTACTGTACCCCCTCCCGGCCTTTTAACGAAGAATACCCCCACCGCTACGCGTTCAATTGTCTCTTGTACGTGTGCGACGAGAAAAGAATTATACCCCCAAAACCTTCCCACTCCTACGGCGAATATCACGTATAAGCCTGGCCTGGCTGGTTGTTTTGTCTTTGTCTCTCTCTCCATCTCTCTCTCTCTGTGGTTTTGTCTTGTTTTGCTGCTGCTGCTGTTTTCTTGCGCGCGTGTGTGCGGGGGTTCCCTTTGCTTATTTTCGAAATGGCGTTTCTTTTTTCTCTCTTTTTTTTGCTTTTGCTTGCTCCTGTAACCTTTGAGAAGCGTCCCCCCTTCTTTTGTGTTCGATTTCGAAATGATTCCCCCATCCTCCTCCTCTCCCAAATCCTAAATGTACTACTTACCTTAACCTGGTAAAAAAAACTCTTCGAGATCGGCGCGAAGAAAAGAAATATACCAATTTGCTTCCTTTTTTCCAAATTTTGTGGAATTTGAACATGATGAGAAAAAAAATTGATGTCTCGTTACGTCCCATTCTCTCTCACTCTCTCACTCTCTCACTCACTCTCTTTTTACATGTGGTGTTGAATGTTGATGATGATGATGCTGAGATTGAGAATTGAATACCCCAACTCTACCCTCACTTCCCCTTTGATTTTTTTCTTCTTCTTCTTGTTTGCCGCGCTTCTTCCGTCGTGATGGAGACAAACGGGGGGTTTTAATTTCGCTATTGGCTCGCCGGCGGGTACGTTAAGGTAGCAAATATGTATGGTGAAAACGTATATAAATGTGAATAGAAGCGGTGTGTCTCCTATCTCTACGTGTGTGTGTGTGTGTACATGTGTGTATGTGTGTGATATACCATTGATTCTGGTGTATTAAGAGCAACTAGAGAGCGATGAGTATGAAGGAGGATGGATGAGAGGGAGAGAGAGACATGGGACACTTTATGATATCGGAGTGTCTGGTAGTGAATGAAACTGTCCGTGTGCAAGGATAAAGAGTAAAAGGACGACAAAGTGGATAGAATAGCATGTGCGTGTTGTTTGAATCATCTACTAGTTACTAGCACTACAAGTAGCGATGGCGATATCCTTTGAGAGCCATAGAACGAATACATGTGCTTGTTGCCTAAGGGATGGCAAAATGAATGTCCACCAAGGTACTATATCCAATCACCACAGCAGTCGCCATCCTTTACATACTGTCCTATCACTTTTTTTTTCCTTCAACAGCTTGCAAAGATTGCTTCTCGTCCAAGTTCAGATACTTTTGACTGTGGCTACGCTTTCTAGAATCATGGAAAAACAAGCTTTCCTCCTCAAACAACTGACGAAAAATCGTGACGAATTTACCGCTTGGTCTTCTTCTTGGGAGCAACAACCTTGAAGTTGCTCGAGTCAAGAGGCGGCTGCTGCTGCTGGGTCGCGTTGGCGCCACCCTTCTTGGCGACTTCAGACCATCCGCTTCCTGCAGCCTTGTTCTCAGCCGGAGAAGAGGTGTTGCGCTCATCAATGATGCCCTTATCTGCTAGCTTACGGCGGCGAAGAAACTCCTCGGCGAAATGGCGAGAGTCGAGTGTGCTGGAGGCGGAATGAACAGACTCGGTGATGAGTTCGGCGTCAGCGGGGAAGCTGAGGAGAGATGAGACAAAGTCCTCAGCTGTATCAAAATTAGCAGGCATGACTTAACATAATATAAGTTAGGACATACCATTGATGTTCTTGTTAAGATCATGGCGGAGCTCATTGACAGCCCACTTGCGGAATTCTTCTTCCGCATTCGGCTTTCCAGATGGTGCTCCTGCAGTACTACTGCGAGCGACTGTAGGCTTCTTAGCGAGAGAGGGCACTATGGTAGAACTAGCCGAGCGAACGGCGCCAGGAACGGGCGTTGTCGTACCTCCTGGTGCTTTGACCTTTCCACTTGCGCCAACTGTGGTCCACGGGCTGCTACCAGGAGGTCCTGCAGGTCCTGCAGGCGATGCAGGGGTGCTCTTACCCGCCAAATCAGCATATCGCTTTCCGGCAGATGGTGGTGGGACTGGCGATCCAAATACGTTGGCTGCAGCAACACTCTGAGCAGCAGCACGTTGCTTTCGAGCTTCCTCCTCCTTCTGAATTTGCTGAAGCGTCTTCTTGGAACTTGGAGTCGGCTGTGCGGCAACCTTACTTGCCACGGGCTTGGTCCATACGGAGGCATTGTTTGCACTGGGTGTGACGGGAGATGCACCGCTTGCCCAAGTCGAGCTGGAAGGCAAACCGGGTTGCACCGCAGGCGACTGGTTCTGAGCTTGGAGTTCTTTCTCGAATGCTTCACGACGAGCTGCAGCTGCAACAGCCTCTCGCTCTGCCGCCTTCTTTGCTTCCATCTCTTGGATCTCCCTCAGAGAAGGACCATGGGACGCGTTGACAGGTTCCTTCGCCCATGGCGCAACTGAGACGCTTGGGGTATCGGCGGCTGGAGTTGCCGCACCCGAGCGAGATTCGGCGTTGAGATTTTCGGCAACGATTGGTTTCCTCTGAGCGGCAGGTGCTGGAAGAGGGGACTGGGATGGTGGTGGCGGGAATGGGAAAATTGCGGGCTCAACCTTGTTCCACGCACTTGCAGATTGAGGGGATTGCTTAGCAGAAGCAGCCTTCTGCACTTGTTCAGTAAGCGATAGCGGCTCTTGTCCAGCAGAAGATGGCTGCTCCTTGTTCTCAGACTGGTGTTCTTGACCATCTGCACCAACGGGCGATGCAGGCTCAGAAGCTTGCTGTGATTGCTGAGCAGACGAAGAGGAAGGCTTTCCAATGACACCCTCTGGCGGGGGAACTGCTTTCGGCTGTTCCATATCTGTCTGGACTCGCAGCTCATTGAACTCGGCAAAGCGCTCAGCGAAATTGCGAGCAGCCTGTACGTCTTCAGCGCTGCCCTGGCGGATCATGGCATCATGTTCTGCTTGTTCGCGCTTCAAGCGAGCCCGGTCGCCGATCACTGAAGCCACATATTGTGCATGCGCATCTTGGTCCTGCTGTTGTCCACCGAAGCCAAACTGGGGCTGATTGTTTCGTCCCAAGTTGAGACGATCCATCATGGCGGGCACATCTTGGTCTCTGCGATTGTTCATCATATCCATACCAGGGCCAATAGGGCCTAGACCAGGTACTGGACCAGGGCCAGCTCTGAAGGTATTATCAATTAGCCCAGGAACAGGTGCTCCTGGTACGGCTCCTTGTGGGGGCGATGGCTGATATCCGCCAGGTGATGTGATACTGCCAAAGCTTGGTTGGCTATGCAGACTATGCGCACTGGAGTGGTGATTAAGCTGGTTCGGTATTACTCCCATCTGGACTTGTCGGGCAAGGGCTTGTTGCTGTGCAGCTAGGTGTTCCTTCTGACGAGCCATGAGGTACTGCTCTTCTTGCTTTCTACGCTCAAGAGCATTTTGTTGCTCGGCAGTAAGGGTGGTTCCGAAGCTCGGGAAGCTGTTTGCAAATGGAGGTTGAGCTCCTGGAGCAGCAGCGGCACTAGGACCGGCACCGGCCCAGGAGTTACCAGGCTGAGATGTAGCAGGGCCGTGGGGAATGCCAATTTGAGGGACCAGGAAAGGTTCACGCGAGTTGCCAATACGACGGATGAGCTGCGCCAGAGGTTCGTAGTCGGGCTCTTCAGCCTTCTTGACTAGCAATTCAGGCGAGAAGAATCCAGCCTTGTACCAGTCGTGCATCTCCAGACCAGAAAATGGACCTTGAACATTGCCTGATGGGTCACGGTAGATCCACCTCATTCTATCAGGCATAACCATCATACGCTGTTGAGGAACTGGAGGCTGGCTGGAAGCTGGGCTTCCAACGCCTGGGGTCGAAGGCTGGGCAGTTCTGGTTGGGTTCAAGGCAGCCATAGAGAGGGAGGTAGTAGCTATATTCTGGGGTTGTCCTGTTGAGTTATGATCGTCATGATGGGCATTAGAAAAGTCGTCGAAAAGATTGCGGTTTGCACGGAAAGGGCTATCCGTATCACGTGCGGGGGCTTGGCCACCAAATGCGTTTCTTCCAAAAGTGCCAGTCATGCTATGCTGGCGATCACCACGCGAAGAGCCATCGTCAACAGGGGCTCGATTCGGGTCGTTGGATCGCATCTGCTCTTGCATGGAAGCTGGGAACAAGGAGCCGAGTCTGCTAGAACGGCCTACTGTGCCATGGCCATGACCAAACAACGAGCTGTTGCCTAGGCCGGCCAGAGAAGGCGATTGAGCTTCACCTACGTTTCCGAAAGCACTTTCAAAGCCACCGAGACCGCCGCGCTCGCGGGTTGGGGTGCCCAAGGTGTGAGATGGCCAAGCCGAGGCACCTCCCAGACCAGGCAGACCACCACCGAGGCCAGGCAAGGTAGGAAAACCTCGATTGGGACCAACGCTGGAGGTTTGGCTACGATCGCTTGCTGCAGTCTCGAACGGCACAGCCTTTCCAAGGCCTCCAAGGCCACCAAAGGCATTGTGAATGCTTGAGTGGACCGACTGGTCAATGTGGAAGCTGCTCATGCCAGGAAAGTGGGCGTTTTGGTCGCCGGAATCGTCCGAGTCGTCATGCTGATCTCGTGCGTGATGCGGGCTTTGGTATGGATTGGTATCCGTCGGGCTCATGGGCTCGTTACCACCTCCACGGAGGGGCGACTGCTCTGTGAAATTATTCTTGCTATACATGTTGTCGGTAGTCATTCCGAATGCAGATAATCCAGAGTCATCACGGTGGTCTGGGCGGTGGGGCGTTGCGAAATTACCGAAGCCTTGAGGTCGGGGCGGACTAACGTCTTCGCCGCGAAGCGCAGCACTGCCCGTTGGGTGGTCATGGTCGGGGAAAGGATCTGTGTCGCTGCTCATTGGTCGGCTGGTGCGGGCCTCCATCCACGATGCATCAGTTTTTGAGGGCTCTGCCTCGCTAAGCTTGCCCAAGTTATTCGTAGAGGCTTTGTCCTTCGGGCCGTTGCCAAAGTCCTCAACACTAGGCTTGCCCATTAGACCTTTGAAGCGACTCTCGCCGCGCAAGCTACCGTAACCAGGCTTCTTGTCTGCTTGTGGATTGGCGAAGCTTCCAAATGCACCAAAGCCACCACCAGGCGTTGCAGACCAAGGCGATGCACCAGCACCTGGGCTAAACGGCGCCGTAGTGCTGCGCTTCGCAGGACCAAAGGGACCTGAGTTGTCGCCAGTACCCTTCTCCCGATCGCGTTCTTCACCCGGACGACCCTCTGCAGACTCCTTGTAATCCGTCCGACGACGTACCAGAGCAGGCGGCGGGGTGACGGCACTGCCTTCTTCGCGCGCGAATCGTGAGGTAGCGGGGGAGGAGGGGAAGGGATAGGCTTCGCCGGTGTCGCGACGTCGAGCGCCCGGTCGCGAGGCAGTGGGGGAGGACAGGCCGTAGGGAGTACCTGCTCCTTGCGACACCGAAGACTTGCGCAGTGATAGAGGTTCTTTGGGAGTGCTGTCCTTGTTGTTATTCTGCGTGGGGGGCTTCAGCGGCGAGTTGACAGACGAAAGGAAGATCTAAGCGAGAAAGCGCACGTTAGCCTCGGTCGCTGCATTGTACAATGAGCAACAGCCTACCTCTCTTTCCTCATCGGTCATGTCTGTGAGACTCAGCGGCAATATGCTGCCATCTTTGTCCCAGCACTGATCGACCCCGCTTGGCGCTTCCCTGCCACCACCATGATCGTCTTTGCGGCCCCAGGACGCGCCTGAGGCCCCGTTGGTAGCATGAGGTTCCCATACGCCCATGTACAAATCTGAGAGTCCGTCGCTGAGGTCTCCGGCCTGTTGCTGTATCCGGAACAACTGCGTCAGTTGGTCTCGCGAATACCGGCCCTCAAACGAACTGCCATTGCGGCCAGGCTGTGCGTGTGGGGGGACATATACGCCGGTGCTGGTTGAGGGATTTTGCGGCGCAGGAGGGTCTCGTGAGGCTGGTTGGGTTGTTGATCCAGATAGGCTGGTCGCGTGTGAGGGTCGGCGGAATGTTTGCGTGGCACCGTTGGTGCGTCGGGCCCTGCGGTCGGCGTGAGTATCAAAGGAATTGCGACGCCACATGTTGACAGCGATGGGTATCGGGGGTTGTATGGGGCGAGAGAGCAATGTGTCATTTGTAGCGACTTGAAATGGGGCGAGCACCGCGCGCTCAGAGTAAAGAATGATGCGTGTGGAAGAGATGCAAACAGAGACGAGGGCCGACTTACCAGTCGCCGCCCGCTTCTACGCGCGCTGGGTTGGCGCTGTTTCCCGCAGCTGCCGAAGCAAAAGAAGTAGGAGCCATGGTGTGGTGGGTCAAGGAATGGTGAGGGAGCGTGGTGTCGATGCCAGAAGATTTAGTGTGGGGATGGGTGCGACGAGATGTTGGAGGCAGGTCCAGTCGAGGTGAAGGTGGCAGGCGGGCAGTGGCTTCGTGCGAGGCGGGACAAGGAGGCAGTGGCACAGTGTGTAGTGGCACGGGATTCGGTGGGGGGGATGCAGTCGTATTGCGGCGACAAAAGAAGAGCTGCTCTGCTTCGGCGAACATTTGAGGTTGGCCTGCAGCCGAGATGGCCACACGTGACTGCGCTGCCCGGTGGAGACGCCCATGTTTTCTCCCACCATCCCGCCACACTACGCGTCAACGCGTCGTGCCGCACAGTTTGCCCTGTTATTTTGTTGCCTCCTGGGTTGCAAATACCCTAGGCCGGTGTTCGGTCTATGGCAAGCTATTTTGTCCATCTGCATATGCAATGCATTCATGTATATATCCATATGTGCATGCGGAAGGCGCGCCCGGGTGTACCTTCCCTATGACGTTACCAAAAGTGACTTCCCTTGCTGTCATCATCATCCGTCATCGCCGCCCGCCTCTTCCTATCCTTCTCTCAAACGTCAACTCCAAAGAACCATGTTTGATCCATTTACTACATGGCCCCTTTACCCTGCAGACCCCCTTTTTTCGTGTGGTTGAGAACCAGCTGAGATAGTACAACGGGGTCTCGCTCGACTTGCTTTCAGCTCCAGTGAAATCATCGTCATGGTACCCGACGAATCACCGCCCCGGCTTATACTCTTCCGCCACAAAGACAGCTTACAGTAAAATCTTAACGGCTCCTTAGTGGCGTGCGGATCAGTAGGCACATCGGAGGCAGATTGGCATAAGATCGACAAGACAACTCTGCCGCATGTGTGCAGAGAGGGGCAATTTTATATACATGTACATGCGTACGTTCTCGAGTTGACCTTCGCAATTTCGAACGACACTCGGCTTTGACCTCACTCCATAGCCCGTGAACTATCGGCAGCTGTCGCTCAATGCAGGTACTTCGCGCGGGATGCACTCTGACATCACAGACCAGCACCGCTCCGGTGTACCGTTCCGCACACATGGGCATCGCAACTCTTCTCGGGGTCGATTTTTTTACTGGAGCGAAGATGACGGCGACTCTGACATGCCATTGGTGGGTAATTCATCAAATCGGAAAAGAGACTTTGGCCATCCTGGGCAGTGAGCAAATTGAGTTTCACAAAAGACAAGTGGGGTACACACTTTTCGTAATTCCCCGACTACGATGATGAGAATGGTGATAGTGATCATGGAGTTGACTTTGAATGACTTCTTCCAGATCAATAACGGGTAAGCTAGATACTAGAAGCTTCGTGGTTTCTTGATTCAGCCCATTTTGGAATTCACGTTTTGTCTTGCATCACTGCCACTAGCCCATGGAAAACGGCCAGGGCCATTCCGACAAGGCAGGCACTAACCATGTTTGCTATTCAAGCACGGACAGAACACAAGGCGACTGCTCTATCGCGTTGGCATTGTTGCACACGCCTGTCAATAGCAGGGTGATTTCTTCTAGCGGCTTGCTGGTCCTTTACAAACCAACAAAACCTGCTCGCTCCAAACGCTCCGTTTTCTGTGCAACACTCAAAAAACAATTAGCTCTGTTTGCAGACTGCTTGCCGCTTCACTGGTTGTATGAGCGTATCCAGTCTCCTGACCAGTTACAAGGTTGGATGGTCACATTTCAACAGTTCGGTTGATCATCTTTCCCAACCGTTGGACAGTCTCCACGAGCGAAACATTCCAAAAGAGATAGTGTATTCCCATGCTTTGGAAACGAATATTGAGGCTCGTGATTAACTTGGGCAGACTACGTTTCAGCCGCATTGAAAAAATGACGACGTGAGAGAGCATCAAAACATCTTACATTATCAAAGTTAAAAGCAACACCAATGCCTCATCCTTGCTTAAACCCTACCTCCTTCAATGCTCATCTTTAAGCCTTACTTGGAATAATATCCACAACGGACCAGCTCGCCTCGGTGCGAATCGCACAAGTCACTACATCCACCATGTGCCTCCTCTTCCACTACACCTACCACTGCCACCCGTCTGCTTCTGAAACGCTCTCTCTGCGTTGTCATGCTCTCCTCCTGCAGCTCCAGGAAAATCGATCCCTCTCGGCACAGTGTCCGTTTTCAGAAATGTGCCCAAGGCTACGGGAAAGACGTATTTCTTCACCGTACTGCATCAAATGCTTGGCGAGACAAAGTCGACATGGATTAGTGCTGTAGGAGCAAGAATGAGGTGTTGATTAAAATTAGTGCTTCCAGATCGCTCTGGATCTTGTTAACCGCCGAGGGAGGTGCTAGGTCCGATTTCCTAACAAGAACTTACTGCGGGCAGGGCGACACCCTGTCTTTGCCCTAGCCTTTTGACAGTCAGGCAGCGCTAAATTTATCTGGGCTGATCTTGTCGCTCATACGCGTACCTTGGTTACATGTGAATGATATTTATGCACACCTATCTGATGAAGCTGACATTGCCGTTTCCCAGACACGACTAAGATCCGCATGCATGTAAGCCCACGTACACAAGCTTCAGCTATTGACCAACCAAGCTTTGCCATTGCGCTCGCTAGCTACAAGCCTTGAACTTCGCAAGAGATAAACGTACAGATTACGCCTTGGCTACCCCAGACAAGCCCTAGCCGTTTTCTCGCCTCACCGGCTAATTTGGTCGAGGTGCCTGCACCATCCAGCCACTGAGAGCTCTTCTTGCGTGACACGAGCATATTGAGCTCGGAGTATCACTACCAACGCGGGCAAGAGGCAAGATAGGCGTGCTACACTACTGTAGCCTCTTGAAAAAAGACAGCAAGTCTGGATCCTTGGTACTGCACAGCGAGCATGCACTGTCTCACTCATGCATCTGCAAAATTCGTCAGCACAGAGAACGATGAGTACTTGAAGGATACTTAGCCCTTGCCTGAGGATGGTGCCTTTGGTAGGGAATTCGAGTATCTTTAGTCGCCATGGCAGAAAAAACTGGTCATGACGCTACCGTCGTTCCTGTATCAGTTGGTACATCCGTTGAGGATGTAGAGACAAATGGGTTTGGTGAAGCCGGCACGAAGAAGCTGCTACGGAAGCTGGATTGGCATCTCATTCCTTTCATGTCTCTCATCTATTTGTAAGTTTTGTATCTCAGCTGTCCTTTTTCTCTGCTTCTCACAGTTACCCAGGCTTTGCTTCCTCGACCGCACCAATATAGGCAACGCTCGTCTCGATCACCTCGAACAAGATCTCAACCTGCATGGTCTTCAGTACAATGACTGCCTCGCTGTTCTTTTTCCCTTTTACATCGCTGCAGAGATACCATCCAACATGATGATGAAGCGTACCCGCCCTTCCATCTGGCTTACCTTCATCATGTTCTTCTGGTCACTGTCGATGATTCTGCAGGGCTTTGTCAAGAATTATTCGGGGCTTATGGCTACACGAGTATTCCTCGGTGTTTTCGAAGGTAACCCATTCTCCCATCACCATGCACTGCCGTACAACCACTAACTGTTTCCCAGGGGGCTTGTTCCCCGGCGTAAATTATTACATATCTCAATGGTAAGTTGCTTCTGAGGCCCAGAGGTGTAGTCTCCAGATTCGAGGTTGGATCACAGCTAATTTCTATTAGGTATGTTCGAGATGAGTGCGGGTTCAGAATGGCCCTCTTCTTCAGTGCCGCCACTCTCGCCGGTGCATTCGGTGGCATCCTTGCACGAGGCATTGCGGAAATGTCTGGTGTAGGCGGCCGGGCCGCCTGGTCCTGGATTTTCATCCTAGAGGGTCTATTGAGTATCCTAGTCTCCATGGCAGCATACTGGTGCATCTACGACTACCCAGCCACGTAAGTCATTTCTCCCTTTTCAACCAACAATCCATCTATTGTAACGTACTGACCCTCCCAGCGCCCGCTTCCTTACCTCCACCGAACGCACAGAAGTGCAGCGCCGCTTAAGCGAAGACTCGGGCCACCTCTCCAACGACTTCGACATGAAGTACGTCTACCAAGCCATCAAAGACTGGAAAATCTACATCTTCATGCTCATCTGCATGGCGGGCTTCTGCCCCATCTACTCCTTCGCCCTCTTCCTCCCCACCATCATCAAGAACATGGGCTACACCGCCAACGAAGCCCAACTCATGAGCGTCCCGCCCTACGTCTGCGCCTGCGTCTTTACAATCGCTGCATCTTGGTACGCCGACCGCGTCAAGAAACGAGGTATTTTTCTTATGGTCTTCCAACTCATCGCCATCGCCGGCTTCGCCATGCTCGCTGCTACAGGCGCGCCTGGCGTACAGTACGCTGGGACTGTCCTCGCGGCTATCGGCATTTACCCGCAAATCCCGCTCGGCATGGCGTGGAACAGCGGTAACATTGGCGGTAGCTTGAAGCGCGGAACGGGAATCGCAATGCAAGTGATGGGCGGTAACTGCGGTGGCATCATCGCATCGTACGTCTATGTTTCGCGCGATGGACCGCGATTTATTACCGGTCATAGTATTTTGATTGGATTTGTTAGGTGAGTCCCCCATAATGTAGTTTGGTTAAGAGTGCGGTTTAGCTAATTGATGGGACAGCATGGCGTTCTTCCTCACCTTCTTCATGTCAAATTGGTTCCGTATGGAGAATGCGCGCCGCGACAGGATTGCGCTTGAGACGGGACACCAGGAATTAACGGAGGAGCAAAAGGCGATGGAGAGCGAACTTGCGGATTATGTGCCGTGGTTTAGATATACTACTTAAGGTATTGTGAAAATGGGGGAGTGGTTGTTTGTAAAGTGAATTGGGTATAGAGCGTAATCTATGGACTGTCTTGTCCAAGGAACTAAGAATCACACACGCTACTTCACAATAGATCGCAGCAACAAGTGGGGGGGGTTTTTTTCCTCTATATCCACCACACCTATCTTGATACTTCTCCAACTAATTTTTCCATCTACTCTTGTGGTGTCTAAGCGAAACCTGGATTCTCGGCAAAGAGTTAGTCTAGTAGCCTACGCCGCTACTTCACGTAGTACTAATGCTCTCAACACACACACCCCCCCCCCAAAAAAACAAGAAGAAACAAAAAAAACTCTCAGATTTACACAGAACAAAGATTCCAAACGATCAAACCTTCATACGCAAAAATAAAAATAAAAAAATAATCCAGTTCAGTACCTCAACAGCACATTCTCACAAATGCAAGGGGGCTTATTTTTTGGGGGGAAAAAAAAGAGGGCGTCGACAAATCATGCCCAACAACAACAAGCCCCAAATCCATAAACGCAGATGTGGGGTGGGTCCAGAACCAGTGGGGGGGGGGGGTTCCAGGGTCCCCCATATCGTTTGCATTGGCCCCCTTCCCCCAACGAACCAAAGCCCACAATGCGTTTTGCATTGATAATTTTTGCGTTTTAAACAAAAAAACCTGAATGTTTTTTTTTGCTCTCCACATGTTGTTAATGCGAAGAAAAGGGAAAAAAAATAAAAAATAGAGGGGTTGCATGGGTAATGATATATAGACGAAAACCTCCCCTCCCCCCCTCACAAAAAAAAATGGAACCAACAAAACATAGAGGACTGTGAAAAAAAAACAGAAAAGAGTTTTTTAGATTGAACGATAGGAAAAAAATTTCATAACGTCATTATGCCATTACCAATACCTAAATAAATCCTAAGTGTATAAGAGGAGGAGGGAAAAAAGAAGAGACTTGAAGAAAGTCTTTTTTCTTCTTCTTCTTTCCAAGCGTTGGTACAAAAAAAAGCGGGAGAACATCAGAAAAAAAAGATGAAGAGAAGAAGGATGTCTTTCTCAAGTGTGAGTGTGAGGAGAGAAAAAAGGTTGGAATGGCGGTGCAAAAAAAAGAGAGAGAAAGTGAAAGGGAAACGGAGAAGCCCTCTCAAACCATTCTCGTTGGCTGTGTAGGCTGCATAGCCCAATCACCCTGATCGTCATCGTACCGCCGTTCTATCGGCCTACTAACTTGCTTGGGCTGCATGGGCGCCCACTCGGTTGCAGACTCCTCATCATACCGCCTCTGGTATGCACTCTCAGGGCTGGGCACGAGCTCGACGGCCTCGGCCTTCTTGACGCGGCGCATTTCCTGCTCTTCAAGCAACAGCTTCTTGATGGTGCGCATCTTCATGTAGATCCAGATGCCCATTACGACGGTGATGACGAAGACGGCGCCGAACATGACGGTTTTGATGACATCGTCGTTGCTTTGCTGCAGGAGCAGCACACCAAGGTAGACGAGGAAGATTTGCTTGGGCAGCGAGAAGAAGGTTGCGACGACGAAATGCCAGAACTTGACATCGCAGGTGGAAAAGACGGCCGTGGAGAAATGAGCGGGGATGGCGGAGAGGCGGATGACGAGGACGATGAAGAAACCGCCGTCGCGCGTCAGACGGGCCATGGCGCCGTAATTAAGATTGGTGCGTTCTAATTTCAGGGCCTTGCTGCGGAACGCATATTTGAACGCGTACCAGGTGCCGACTGCAGAGTAAAATGATTAGTCAAACGTTCGAAAGAAAAAAAGGGCCGGGAAATTCGGAGGGTCAGCAGAAAAGAAAAGTGAAAAAAAAAACAATAAACTTACCCTCGCCGATAAAGGTTCCCGCTGCCACAATGGCGAAACCGATCCAGAGCCCGTAGACCACACCGCACAGCAGCGCAATAATCTCGTGGCCGAAGAGCGGTGGGAAGGAAATGATGACGAGAATGACAATGGGTATTAACCATCCCGCCGGCAGGTCTCGGACTTTTTCTGACCAAGGTCGTAGTTTCTGTTGGCAATTGGTGTCAGTCACGTGGGTCCCACCGGCTCCCCGAAAGTCAAAAGGGAAATATGCGGTGAGCCAAAAAAAAGAAAAAAAAGAGACATGAGCGTACCTCGACAACCTCGTCGTGCTTGATGGTGATGATGACCGTGATAATGCCAATGATGATAAATAATATGTGCCATGCTAAGTCCGGCTGTCAGCAAAAGTATCCAGGTGAGAAACGGGAGGGGGATCAGCAGGGGGTGACACATGTCAACATACGTATGTATTTTGGGGCGAGGAAGAAGCGTTTCCAGTCGAACTTTTGGTATTCCGTCTCTTCGGGAGGGCCGTTTGACTTCTTTGCCTTCTTCTTCTGCTCGGCTTCCATCATGCCCGACATTTCAATGTCGCTGTCCTTCTTGCGGAACCACATTGCGCGGGCGCGGTATGTGCGTGGCCCTGTCCAGCGGGAAAGATGATTTTTGGCGAGTCAAGGAAACCAAGATGGGCGGGCGGGAATGCAGCGTTTTCGAGCGGAAAGCCAGTTGGGGGGGGAAGCTCGGGGCGCAGGCGAGTTTGTATGTATCTGGGGGCAGCCGCCTCTTTTTTTTTTCTGGAGTGTCGAAGAAAGAAAATCCGGGCAAAACGGGCAATTCCTGGGGAAGAGAGGGGGGGTGGGTGTGGGAGGTAGAAGGGGGAGAGAGAGAGGTGTCGGGGAGGGGTGATGTTGGTGGTGGTGGTTGTGGCGCGACAGAGGATAGGGGAGAAGGATCATGTATCAAGGGCTCGGGCATGAAACCGGCATAGCCACATCCGCGTAATCGACGCCTGGACCAATGGCGACGCGCCCAAACGTTGCTATGTGAGACACTGGCGCGGGAGATCAGCGCCTGCAGACGCGGGCTTAAAACCTATCAAGCCCTACATCCCCGCCTGCACATCATTTGCGACAGGCACCATTTGATGCGCTTTCGTCAAATCTCCATGTCCACCTGTCGCCTGCAACCGTTGCCCGACACGTTGGCGCCCTGTCCTGCCCGTGCATTGGCCGCTGCTTGTTGCGGGAGCGCCTTCGTATCTATTGCCACGATAGCCTCACCCTCCTAGAGGCGGCGCAGCGCGACCCACGTCAGATCCAATGTTTGTTTATATTTGGACCGCCGCCGATGATCGCTATAATTACGACCGTTGGGAATTGTGGGCAATGCGAAAGAAGCGTCGTCATCGTCATCACTCTAGCGGGCGGCACGCTTCCAATCAATCCAAAGCCCAATGACTTGTCCCTGCAGCCCGTCCCAGGTACACACACGTTCAACTTCGTATTTCGCCCAGAATTCTCCGTCCGCCGTGCAGCAACCCCCTGGCTGCCAGGAAACGGTCTCCGGTGGCTTATGTCAGCCACCCCCGATATTCTTCTTTGACTGTTCGGTTTCCTGATACTTATTTCAAAACAAGTTACACATGATGTGTTTGTTCGGAGCAAGGAAGCCATGCTGCCACCTCGCTTGTTTGTCTTGCTTATCACAGCCACCATACTCATATTGTCGCGCTCGCAACAATCCGTTTCGGCTTTCGGTCGGACGAAATGTGTCCTTTGTCCGCCGGCCCCGAGCGACCGACAAGTGTTGAGGTGATACTTGCATCTTCGACATCTGGTTGCTTCTCCTTGTTTCGTCCTGGCTGAATTCATAACCGCTCGACATTGTTACCATTACACTTACACAAATCCTTTAGGGTTCGGTACCGAGTTTTGTTCAAGTAAAAGTACCACTATCTTTATTGGATCCACGTTTTTTTTTGCCGCATGGCGCTTACATGTGCTCCGTCGTATTAACTGACCTGCATGCAAGCAAGCAACTATAAGCTTCAAGATCAACGTTTCCTTTCGTTCCTAATATTTTTTTTTAAAAAAGAAGAGGAGCGGCATGATAGATAACGCAGGAAATTATCAGAAACCAACCAAGTGACGATACCCCTCAGTCACCAGGAGCTCAAGGACGCCTCTTCTCTTACTACAAGAACGCCAAACAAAACCCTCTGCCGTCATTCGTGTTTTAAAGCTTACAGGCACTGTTATGCACACCTACTTTGCACACGTGAAAAGTCACGCAAGTATTTTGGTGCTAAAGAGACGAATATCGTGACCCGGCTAACTAGCTATACATGTCGACACTCAAAGTCCATCTTTTCTCCATTTGTATGAGTTGATGGTACGAATGCCCCATTTAAGCCCTTTCAGCTCTGTTGTTCTATGTCGCAGTATCGTTCTATGTTGAGAAGGTCTGCGACTTGTGTACATCATGGTTCGATATTTCTTTATTTACTCTCACTCGTATTTCTATTCATGCAGACAAAGCACTTCGCTTTGATAAGGTCCGCAATGCGTACAGGTAATTTCCATTTCAAATGATGGCCGACTTCATTACAGCCTCATTCTCTCTCGCGCGCTCACGGTAACCCATCACGCATGACCATCATACTTTGGATCCCGCGCATTCAACGAAGGGTCATAGTCAATCTTGATCTCGCGCTCGATACCATCCTCATCCACCATCAAGGCACAATTGGCATTGATCAAGTGCCACTCATTCTCGTCGTACGTGGTAGGCTCACTGGCAATAATGGTGTGCTTGCCCATTCGCTCTGCCTCGAACGATGCCTCGAGATTCTCAATCTCCTTGCTATCTGGGTTACCCGGGTACTTTGTGTTGAGAGTGCGACCGGCAAATTCAGACCAATAGAGACTAGGCGGCTGCTGTGTAGCGTGGTTCCGGAAGCGGATGGCGAGCATTCTCTTGCCGTCTGTGGTGCAAAAGTTGAGCGAGTTGGGCGTGTTTGCATCCCCGAGTTTGGCATGCTGCAACTCGAGAATACGGATCACTGTTTTCTTCATGGCTTCGAGCATCTTCTCGAGTGGGTACGACTTCTCCCAGCTCTCCTTGTCTCCGCCGTCGGTCAGAAATGTCATGTACATGGCAGCGGCGTGTTCCGAGTCGGTGCTGCCTAGCACATTGCAGTAGGCGTCAAAGGAGAATTCGTCCGTCATGTCTCGGCGGATGCTAGAAAAGTTGGAAACGACTCCGTTGTGCATAAAGACGTGGCGACCAAAAACAAACGGGTGCGAGTTGACTTGTGTCACAACGCTACCGCTGGTGGCGCGAATGTGAGCAAACACACATTTTGCCTCGGTGTTTTGGCAGAGAGACTTGAAGTTGAAATCATTGATGGGCGGAGATTGGGACTTGTAGAGGGCTGGGCGTGGGCCTTCTACGTGCTTCAAGTACGAGGAAGTGGCCTCGGTGTACCCTGGGGGAGGTTTGTAAGCTACTGCCAAGCAAATATCCAAGTTGGGAAATGTGCTCGAGTACGAGTCAAGGTACGTCAAAGTACATCTTTTGTCAACAGGAAGATTTTGCACTTACATGCAATACCCAAGCCATCCATGTTCAAGAGCGAGTTTCGCATACGCATAAGCTCGTCGGGGGCGTCATGGAGGTCTTTATCGTCATTGTGTGGGAGAAGCTTAGGCAGATAATGCTCGGAACACTGTTTGCTGATGCTGTTGGCGGGAGTTATGAGTACATCAGATAAGAGACATGGCTCCGTAGGAGAGATGTAGGCGAACCAGCGACACATGGCTGTGGTTGTGATTCTGGGGCAAGAATTTTCTTTTTTTGTCTTTTCTCCTTCTTTATCTTTTGGTATATGGATAAATCTAGGATCGCAACAAGGTCAAGAGCCACTTATTTATCCGTGTACTCAAATGAAGAGAGGTGATTCTTTTAGGAAAGCGTGAGCAGTAGGTTTGATCGGCAGGTGTGTTGCACGGCAGGCTCAACAACGCAGTCCTTCTGATGTGTTTACCAGTTGTAGGTGAGGATGGTCAAAAGCACAGCTGGAGGCGTATGGTGGCGGGTATCATGGGCCAGTAAAGAAGACTTTGTCGAGGAAAAAGCAAGTCGGAGATGCTCGGTGAGGACGGAGAGCGGGGATAAAAAGACGCAGCGAGTAGTGCTGACTAGAGAATTGGTTGTGTGACTATACCTTGAAAGGCCAATGCTACACTCGGATCGTACTGGGTATGGCGCAAATTGCAGGATGGAGCAAAATGCCAGTGGTGGAGGCGTGAAGCAAAAGGAAGGCGGCATGCCATGTGGCATTGCGGGGCAGGCAGCAGGCAGCGGGAGCGGGGCAGCCCGTCGATAAGAAGCGCTTACACATGTATGGATGGATGGATATATGGATAGACGGATGGACATTTGGGTGTAGTATTACTACTGCATCATGAAGCAGTAGTACGTGCCTTGAGAGACTGCAGTGCGAGTGCAGACCACGTCGGTTGATCCCGAAAGTTTATGGGATACGGCTGATGAACACCTTCTGGAAGGCAATTGCCTGCAGGTGAGTTAGTGGCATCTGTGATGGCGTGGATCATGACTGGATAGCAAGGGCCAGGAAGACTAGTAAAGGCAGATAATGCGGACTACTCGTAGTAATAGTATGTAATGTTACCAGCCGTGTGGTCCTAATACACTACACCGTCGTCACATGACTTCCCCATATCCCAGTATTTGGGTGCAGCCACCGACTGTGTTCCCGCCGACACGTGACTTGCTGCACAATGACGGCAGCCCAGGCCGGCCATGGGGCTCTGCCGAGGCGGATAGACGACGCAGACGACAAAACAGTTAGGCAAGTCACATGGTGGCGTGAGCTGAGCTGGGGACGACTAAGAAATATTCGTAGTAGTAAGACGATTTGTATCTCCAAGCGAATCGACCGTAACTCATAGCACACGCGACGGCCGTGCGCTGCTTGGCTCGGCACTTCTCAAGCATGATGCCGTCATTTGATTTGTGTCTGCTCGGCCTCTAGCAACACCAATCTCTCAACGCTTGCGATGCGCAACACTGGATTCAAGCACTTGCGGCGCTGTTCCCTGTTATCAGCCGAGAGTCGGTCCAGCGGTTTTGACACTGGTGCGGCTCCCGATCAGCTCGCAGTTCGCAGCTCGCAGCTCACCTGCACCCACAACGCCCCGTCGCATCCAACTCCCTCTTTCTCCCAAAACACGCGGGCCTCTTGTCAGCGACATTGATAGACCCCCACCCGCTCTTGCACTCGTTCCCTTGGGCTCGCCCGCACCCAGCATTGGGCCAGGAGCCCGGTGCCTGCCGACACGCTGCGATGCATGCACTACCACGCTTCGGCGACGTGCGAACACATGCATCCATAGCCTTGTCCTCTCCCAGACTGGATTACGTTCCCCCAACTGTCGTCGCGCGGCCGGTGACATGGGCCCTGGTCGCTTGTTCGAGTGCCTGAGCTACTCTAGGCGCGGCAACCCATGGGCAAGCCCTGGATGCTCCCACTCTTATGCTGGGGCAAATTGTCGCCCACCCCGGGTCACTAACGCAAGCCTGGCCTCTAGTA